GCTGCTGTCATCCTGGCGCAGCCCTCGGCTCTGCTCCTGGCTGAAAGATTGAGTGGATTCCTCGGATTATACCCCGATAGTTGAACAAGTTGTGTGAGTTTGCTGAGTCGCAACCGCAGGCAGCCTACCATGCTTTTGTGAATGGGCTGCAGAATAGATGGACGTTTCTCTGCCGGACGGTGGAGGGTGCTGCAGAAGTTCTCAAGCCATTGGAGGAGGATATTCATCACAAGCTCCTCCCGATGGTAACTGAATAGTAGTGTATACCACCCACATGAAATGGAGAGGACAATGGTTTCCTTCCCTTGCCGACATGGTGGTTTGGGCATTGTAGTCCCCACCACTCTAGGCCACCAGTATAAAACATCAAAAGCCATTACTGCACCTCTGGTGGAACGCATTCGTTCTCAACTTCTCAGGCTCCCTGAGTGATTCGTTGGATTGCATTCGTTCCACCAAGCGCAAGTTGTCGGCTTCAAACAGACATGCTGCTAAGAACAGAGTGTTTCATTTCCTTGCGGCGGCGCCAGCAGAACTTTCTTATTGCGGTCAATTGACCTCGCAGCCCGGAGCGTCCAGTTGGCTGACTTGCCGACCAGTGAAGCGCCACGGATTCGCACGGACCAATGGTGAGTTCCGGGATGGCATCGCCCTTCGGTATGGCTGACCATTGACTGGTCTTCCCCGTAGCTGTGCCTGTATAGCCAGTTTTGATCTATGCCACGCCTTGTCATGCCCATAGGGTGGCTTTCCTGCAATACATCACAATGAGGTGTGTGACGTCACCGCTAGCATGCTCCGGAGAGTGGCAAACAACGTCGTAGTGGAACCCCGCCTTCATCCAACCACTGGTGATTGGTTTCGGCATCGGACGGCTATAACTGCTGAATAGGCATGGCTTGACATTGTGGCAGGCGGGGTGCGGGGCGGACGATTTGAACGCTGCTTTTTTTTTTAATGTAAGGGTATTCAACCCATATGCAGCTTCGAACCGGTCGGCCCACATCCAATCAGCTTTCAACAAGCATGAAGCTGAGAAGAGACGCCACTATGATGAACGACTCTGTTACGAGTGCGGGAGGCGGAGATGTTGGGTTTCACTCCTCTTGTCCTTGGAACAACTGGTGGTATGGGTAGTCACTGAGTGCTGTGCACATCCCTACAAAGTAATAGGGGTAATAAAAGAGACAAAGACAACAAAGGTGTAGTAGGTACTACAAGAGCTGTGCTGGTCAGGCGCAGTGTACTCCTCCGACCATTCCGGTCTCGGAATGAACACGGACTGTGCGGGCCAAGGGGGGTGTACTATGAATCAGAGGCTTATGAGGGCATCTGAAAATGCAACAGAAATGAGAGAAAGAAGATTTAAAACAAAGTAAATAATATAGATTGATCAAGCTTCAGCTTACGTAGGTCCCTGGCAGTCTTAGAGAGAGAGAGAGAGAGAGAGAGAGAGAGAGAGAGAGAGAGAGAGAAAGAGAGAGATAGAGAGAGAGAGAGAGAGAGAGAGAGAGAGAAAGAGAGAGAGAGAGAGAGAAAGAAAGAGAGAGAGAGAAAGTTACATTTATAAGGCCGAGTAAAAAAAATTACTAGATGATCGTCCTTTTTTTTGGAAAAATCGGGGAGGGCGGGAGGATTTTATTTTTATTTTTTTACTTTTTACCCTCTCATGCACACAGTGTACACAACAACATCAAGGTTTTTTTTCTCTTTTTTTCTTTTTTTTTCTTTTTTTCTTTTTCTTTCTTCAGCAGATCGATACTGACGTTGTGATATACTAGTAGTATGTGGTCCATATAGTAAAGAAAGTATTAAACAAAGCGTGCACATGTTTCCTGCATCCGCGATCGGTAAAAAACCAACGATTTCGGCAAAAACTCACGATTTAAAAAATAAAATATTTCTTGGGGCCCTGACAAAAACTGGGGCGGACGGGGACGATCATCTAGCTTTTTTTTTTACTTGGCCTAAAGACAGGTAAGTCTAACAAATGAGGACAGAGACCTCTACAACAGGGTTTTTGCGCCTGAAAGCAGGTGCATGATTTAACAAGCAGGTTGTCAGTCTAGATTTTATGCGCAGATGGAGAAAAAATGCGCAGAATTTTTGTAATGAGATGAAAAGCAGAAATAATAAGAAAAGATTAAATGAAAGCCTGCTCACAACCCCGCCCAGCCTTGCAAACTGGGTATGGTGGATTAAGAACTCGGTTCAACGCTCGAGCAAGCGCTCTCCATTCTAGGTGTTCACAGCAACTGATAGGAACTCATAATGTATGGGGAAATTATAGAAAAGAAATAAGATAAAGAGAATAAATTTCAACGCACCTCAATAAACGAGAGAGAGAGAGAGAGAGAGAGAGAGAGAGAGAGAGAGAGGGGGAGAGAGAGAGAGAGAGAGAGAGAGAGAGAGAGAGAGAGAGAGAGAGAGAGAGAGAGAGAGAGAGAGGGAGGGACGGAGGGAGAGAGAGAGAGAGAAATACTATTTTCTATATCGGATAGATGGACAGATAGATAGATAGATAGATGCTCTGCCTCTCGGTATTGAGCACTCTCTTGGACAGCCTGGAACCTCTCTGTTTTATAGATACAGTCAACTTCGCTAATAACGACTGCGGATGTAACGACAATTCGCGAATAACGACAGAACTTCCATGCCCAGAGCAAAGTCCCATCCCACTGTAATACATTATAATGAGACTTCGGGTATAACGACACTTCGCGAATAAGGACACCTTTTTGATGCCCCGCCGAGTGTCGTTATAAGCGAAGGTGACTGTACATAGATAGATAGATAGGGAGAGAGAGAGAGAGAGAGAGAGAGAGAGAGAGAGAGAGAGAGAGAGAGAGAGAGAGAGAGAGAGAGAGAGAGAGAGAGAGAAAGAGAGAAAGAGAAAGAGAGCATGGTTGCTCAACGGTTGGGTATCATACCCATATCTCAATCATCCGGAGCCATCCGGCCTTTGCTCTCCTGCGTGCCAACATCATGTGTCTGTACGTGGCCGGCTAGCCATTTCCCTGGCACAGGGGGATGGATGACGCATCTCCAGATGTTCCTGTTTCCGAAGCCCGGCTTGTTGGCAACTAGCTTACACAGATACAGACTGATTTAGCAGAGACTATCATGAATCGGAGTTACCACTCTGTACAGATTGTCAAGTTTCATTTTCTTTTTCTTAAAAAATACCTGGGTGCCTGCACGTGGCCGGCTCGCCATTTCCCTGGCACAGGGGGATGGATGACGCATCTCCCGATGTTCCTGTTTCCGAAGCCCGGCTTGTTGGCAACTAGGTAACACAGATACAGACTGATCTAGCAGAGATTATCATGAATCGGAGTTACCACTCTGTACAGATTGTCAAGTTTCATTTTCTTTTTCTTAAAAAATACCTGGGTGCTAACAAAGTGCCCATCCACTGCAATGTGATAATGATGACAGCAATACAGAACGCGGGGCACAGTAATGGCTAAACATGGCCACAATGAGCATTTCAACGTTTGTATAAGCCCAATTTAGAGAACAACAAGGACAATCAAGGCTTGTTTGCTGCTACTTCAAGTTTCATGCTCTCGCAATCGTCAGGCAACAATTTATGTTACTGTGCTCTGCGTTCTGTATTGCTGTCACAGTATCATTATCACATTTGTATTAAATAATATTATTAATTTTGTTTTGCCTCTTCTTTAGTTGTGTCAGGCCATTGGCATTGATATCATGTTGTGTGATCGATTGCCTATGAGGCTTGTTCCTATTTTAGTATGGACAGCACGGCGGCGCTGACAGACTGTGATTATGATGCCTCGTTATGACTCTGAGGATGGGAGGTCAGTGATGCAGTCGTGCATATGCATGGTATGGGCCATGGCATAGGGGGGGGGGGGGTTCAGCTGCGTATGTAACCTACACAGTCATTGGGTACAGCTGCAGGGGCCCAGGCATAGTACTAGTACAGGCCATGCATTGGCATTGTATTGAACTGCGCTGCAACTAAAGACAAAAAGTACTTGCAAGCATGGCAAGTGTATTCCATGGTATCGCGAGCGCTCAGACAGAGTCATAGACTTAGTCTTAGTACTCATACTCATACAATCATGTAGAATGGCTGGAGCTCCCGCACACCGCATACGTGCAGTGACCATGGTGACATACTAGTATATTTATCACCATGATTACAGGTACAACCATGTAGATCTGTACTTGTCTTGAGTCTTGACCATGTGGACTCTTGACTTGTCTGAGCCTTGACACTTACTGACTTAGTCTTTCACCACCATGGCATGGTCCATGTGGCGCCAAGCGGTGGGATCTTTTACGTAGTGCTTTCGGTAAACAACTCTCATTCAGCAACACTCAACCCGCGGTGAAATATCTGGTAGATCTACATCTGGTAGATCTACATGACATTTCAGTGCTTGGGCCGTTGGGGTGCGAACTCGACTGTGTAGTCTGGCAGAAGCACAGCTCCTTGACCATGTTGACGTGATGCAAATAATTTGGTTTGTTGACTGCCACTGAGTCCGTGCCAGTACCAAAAAGAAGTAAAGGAGTTTTTGAGGTGTGCGGTGGGAGACAGCGAGTACAGAGTCAGAGGTGGCCTAGGTCTACATGTACATGTAGGTGACTACTCTGATATTCTGAAGGACAATCGGTGGTGGTGGCTAGCAGGGTTCAAGAGTCCAAGCGAACGGCCAGCTCTGGCCGGATCACACACGTGGTGATTTCTTACCTGTTTTTCGAGTGTTGTGATCATCACCGTTCATTCACCGCGTTCCGTCACTTGTCTTTGAATTTTTGCCACACCATTCATTCGAAAGGGGAAAGATTCGGACGAGTTCTCTCGCTTGCTTTGGATCAGTGATTTTAGTGGTTTGGAGAGCATTGGTGCTGGACTTGTACGTGCAGGCTAGTACAGATATTTGACGTCTACCCAGGGTCACATTGAAGAGGTGGACATCGAGTGATACACCATGTCCGAACCGACAAGGTAGCCGAGTCGAGAATCGGCATTGAACCGGAGGGTACGAACATGGCGGAGGATCAAGGTGCGCCGGCAGCTTCTCCTCTGGTACGAGTGGGTGCTACGGCCGCTACGGTGGTACCAGGCCTGGCTGTTCCCAGCCCACCACCAGGGCTGCGACCCGCTCATGTTCGCAAACATGTGCGCAGAGGGCAGGCGGCCGGACGTCGTGCGAGGGCGGTCGGACAGCCGCAAGAAAGCAGCCGCGACAAACAGGTAATATTACTGTACACACACACACAACTTTGGACTCTCTTGTCGGCCATTGTTCTGCTTGGCGGCCCAGTCTGGTTTCCATTCACTAATGATGTTCGATGCCTTCAGCTAGGATAGCAAGTGGTAGATGCACTCATGGGTTGTTTCCCTCCAGAGCCGGATGGTCCGATTTCATACCACACATGCAGTCTCGGAGAGAAATCCAAGAATTGAAATGACTGAAGCTTCATCTTTACGATGGATAATGCATTCGACTGACACCATAAATGTATCTGATTTGTTTTCCAGAAGCTTGTGTGTGCGTGTGTCTTTACTACCCAACTAAGAACATGCCCAGATGATGCCCAATGGGCGAAATATTGGCATTAGGAAAGCTATTCGATGCAGCTGAGAGCCTGTTATGTACGGTGTGCAATGGAGATATTTTCCGATGTGAAAACTACGCTGCAATGGAGTCTGAGAGTTTTACGGAAACATTATTATTATTAAGAAAGGGTTTGCTCCCCACACCGGAGCTCGCGCTATTCCGCCGACTTTACTTGACACTTGACTGACTCACGACTGCCATCCAGAGCACACGAGAAGTCCATCGAATCTTAGACTCGGCAAACCTGCAAGAAAGCACCACTCCCTGCTCAATACACAGTGTATTGAGCAGGGAGTGGTGCTTTCTTGCAGGTTTGCCGAGTCTAAGGTTCGATGGACTTCTCGTGTGCTCTGGATGGCAGTCGTGAGTCAGTAAAGTGTCAAGTAAAGTCGGCGGAATAGCGCGAGCTCCGGTGTGGGGAGCAAACCCTTTCTTACAAATCATTGCCGAAGTCGCAACCACTACTTCATATTATTATTATTATTATTATTATTATAGCACATTAGAGCTTGCGGTAATGTAGGTTAACACATTGCACAAGCCACCACTTCACACGCGCTCCAGCGGCTTCCAAAGAGCCCGCAGATCCCACGCTATTCATTGATGCATGTCAAGTAACACGTACATGCACGCTGTGGTGGCATGTAACATGCGTACGCCGGAACTCACCTGAACTCGCCAGTCAACCAGCCATATGCGGCTGCAGCACACATCGGAGCTTGAACCCGTAACGCATACACCATACTTTGCGCTGGCCGTATTGCTACTTCATATTTGCTTTGCTTGGGTAGTGAGAAGAACACCGGTTTATTCCTTTCTGCATAGATGCATTAGTGAACTAAACTTATGTCCTACAGCACCATCAACCACGAGTTAGGGTCCATTCTACAAGAAGCAATTCCACCTCTACCAAATAGGCTCTCTGGCTGACTTCATCACACCAGCAACATGACTCCCAGTTGTAGATACTGACAGATAACAATTTCCACCATACATTCTAGAAGCTGAGAAGAACTTTTCTTGTTGGCCATATTCGTTCACAGCTTCGTGCACAAGAGGAGTACGAGGCTAAACTGGCACGTCTGGACACCCGGCATGACTACTTGATATCGACGGTGGCTGAGCGTATGGGTGTTCCGGAAGACCCAGTGCGGGATGCTTTCATGGAGGGTGACCAGGTGAGATGATTGTCCGAGTAGCATTGTATTGTTTGTTTGGTTGTTGTATTTGAATTCTCAGGACCAAACGAGCAGAGATCACTCAATAACAAGGGGGTGAATTATGGAGGAAAGTGAAAAGAATGGGTGGTGAGAATAGGATAAAAGAAAGGAGGAGAAGGATAGCATGATAGTTCATGCCAAGGATGTCGGAGCCTGTGCGACAGATGCTGCAAAACCCGCACCAATATTTCAGAAATGACGATCATCAGCATAAGTATCAATGTTATAATTATTATCTTGCATAGCACCAACAAAGTATGGGATCTGTAGGCCACTTTCATTAACACAAACAGGACTGGGATTGGCAGTACCATTGTAAAACAGGTTTCGACATCCCTTATGCCTCTCATCGAGATGTTATGTTAACCCGAGCCACTCCCAGCCTGGTACCACACAATTTGTACGTTGAACTCTTACTGTACTGCATATGCCTGGTTGGTGTCTGGCGTGATTTAGTGGCATCTACTTCGCAGCTTTTGCACAACCATTCTCAACGTATCGCGATCCCATAGCAAACCTAGGTTTTTCACAAACTTCAGCGTTACATCAATTCGCCTTATAAGTATCAGGTGGAGAGCCTTATAAATCATTCGTATCGTTCCTCATTTCCAGTGGTCCTACACACAGATATACCTCTGAATCACACCACCCTGTTTTCAACTTCCCATTACACACCCCTTATTTGCACTATAGTGCCAATGCAGTCAATTTTGGCACCTGGGCCATCGCCGAAGACTGCGCTTGCTGCTGCTACTGCTGTGTCTGCTGCTGCTATATGCTTCGGTCTCTTGCTAAAGTTCATATACATGTACTGCAAATTTGATATCCTGTTAATTGACATCGCAAATTGGCACTTTCCTGCAATTCTCATGCTCTTTTATTAGTGTCTTCCCTCCACCAACAAAAATTTTTTTCTGAAGAAGACCAGTATGGTCGAAACGTCAACTTTGTCGCGATCACTTCTGTCTTTCCGTGCAATAGTCTAGCCACCTGTTTATCTATCTTATGTTGCACTGTAAAGCAGTGGAGATGATGTTTTACAGAGCTCAGCCTTGAATGCTCCAGCACCGCAGAGCTCAGCCTTGAATGCTCCAGCACCGAATTGCTTCCGGACGGCAGTTCCTTGTGTCATAAAAAATATGTCACGGTTCGCTTGAGACTCGGTTAGACTGAGTTTTCAGCATCTGTAGGAACGCCACCACCCTTCAAAGATTTAGATCTGCAAAGATGAATCATAGCATCGTAGTATACTTGGTAATCCCCTGCCTGTGTACGTGCAAATCTGTTGGTGATGGTTATGTATGCTCTTTCTCCCTTGCTCTCGTGTGTGATGTGTAGCTGACCCGGATTGATGCATTCTTTGCTGGAGAAGGCCAGCGTTATCTTCTTGTCATGGACCAGACTACCTACCGGGCTGATGCTGTGGAACAGGACACGGAAGGTGGCGGAGGTGAGGGTGGAGTAGTTCATTGCAAGTGTATGGTGGACAGGATGCTCGCCCAGGTATTTGAGTGGCAGACTTGGTTTGATTAGATGATACACCATTGTTGTGTTATTAGCTCTGTTATATTGACTACTGATCAACTAGAAACAATACTCTTGCGCATTCTGGTACTGCACCCATGTACTTGTATTTGAATTCTCTAAAGACACACTACCATTACATTTTACCAGAATTGTCAAATATTCATAAGGTCCAGGGAGTTGAAAACTGTATGTCAAAATTTTATCTCATTCACCAAATCCATGAGCAAACCGAGAGTAAACTGTTCTGTACCTGCTATCCTTGCAGAGGTAGGGACCCGTCAAAGCAAAGCACCTCCTGTGAAGCCCAAGCTCCAAGTGTCTGATGGCAGCGATATCACCTATGCGGGTAGAGGCTATTTCTTCATCCGCACAACAAGCAAACCTCTCACCACTATCAACATGGCACAGGTATGGTGAATGCCTTTGTGCGCAACTTTGAACTGTTGAGTGGGAGAGCTTGTATAGCCACGCACAAATACGTCTTGGTAACTCAAATATGGAGGGGTTCCGGTTCACGGAACGACATTGCACTTGTTACTTGAAAGGATTAGGTGACTTGAAAAAGAGTGTCACCAGAAAACCTTATTTGAAACAAGTTCAGACAAGTGAAGCATGCCAAAGGGAAAAGGCAGGAAAAAAGGAGCCACAGGCTCGCTGCGCATGCTCTGGCCTGAGAGCTGCAAAACGGTGCACGCGATGCGTGCAGCAAGAGATCAGCATGACGTCAACATGATGTAACACATAAACAAATAAAGACATAATGAGCGTAACGCGGATTCGTGATGCATATTCACGACAGCCTTGGCCTTGCTAGGCCGTTGTGTGACACAAGTGCAATACCTACATGTGCTTTACTATATCCCATGTATATCAACATCACGTAGCACCAACAATGGTGTAACTGCCACTGATGTGTACGTGCTTTCAAGTAGCCTGCGGAATGAGGACTTGGCACCTTCAATAATAATTTACGGTTTGCATGTAGCCCAAATGAAACATAATTATGGGGTTAACACATCTGTCTGCAGGATTAATTTAGCTTCAATGCACTGGAATAAATCGAGAAACAATAATTATGCACCAGCAGGCCTACCGGTATGATGCAGCTATATTTTTGTCGTGTGGCCTTGTTTGCATTTCCATGCTTCCCATTCTCATGATTCCTGTGATTCTTTCTTCTCTGACAGGAGATTAACTTTGGAACACTGTGCGGCCGTGGGATTCTCGGCGCCATCCAAGAGTTGCTGGTTGAAGTATTCATTCTGTCATTGAAGAATCAGAGTCTTGCTTCCTGGGGTGACTTGGCCAAAAGTGCTGCTCAGCCAGCCAACAAGAGCAGTGGACCTCCAGGTGAGGAAAAACACCCCCCTTGTTTTCCACCCTGCCTTTTGTTCCACTGATTGAGTCTGTTTGCTGTCCAGGACTTGTGTCACCATTGGACGTTGACTGCTTCATGAAGTGTATAGTTATTGTCAGATTGGGCTTTCCTTTTGTAAACCTCCTTGGGTTTTCCGTTTATCAAGCAGTGTAATGGAAGAGACATGTAGCCACCCCTTTGTGTTAGAGAGTCTTGTTTATCCATCATCTATCTGCATACTTCTCCAATTCATCTGGTTTTCTCTAAAAATTGAAAATCGCTACTGCCATATGTCTCTGTGTGACGATGTGTCCAGGTGCACCACGATCAACGCCGCGCGATGACTTCCTCTCGATAATGGACTCCTTTGTGGCCGTGCTGGGTACGGCGCAGGCGTCCGTGGATGATGTCATCAAGCTTTCGGACAGCTCACCTCATCAGCTGGTGAACGGTGCTACTCCACTGCAGTACCGTGAACTGGCTAGCTCTGCCGAGGTGGTACAGGCATTGGAGACGTGCTTGACTAAGTGGTGCGATGAGATTAATCTCGTGAGTGCTGCTTTGAGTCACCCATGACTGGACTTGGCACATGCAATGCAAAACATGCTGGCAAATAGGATTCATATGCTTTGTTTAATTGAAATAAGTAATATGGTCTGTGGTTCAAGGTATATTTCCAGAACGAATGTTGCGCTTTGTGTTTCTGTAGTGTCGCGTATAAAAGCATGACCTGTATAGAAGCATGACTCGAATAGACGCCGATTTTTTGAAGCGCGTCGTGACACAGAAGCATGGTTTGAATAGAAGCCGCTCCCTGCAAAGTACATGTGCACGTACATACGTGCCAGTATGCACTGCACAGTGTAGACTGATGATGTTGACGTAGAAGCATGTTTTGAATAGAAGCATAACTTGAATAGAAGCATGGTTTGAACACCGGCTTATGCGGCCATAAGCACCTGCTTTTCTACGCGGCATTACGGGTATGTGTACTGTTCCAGTGTCTAACATTGTACGTCATTATCCCAAGCCAGCATTTAATATGGTGGAGCCTCAAAAAGGAGAAATTGAGCACAGAAGTTCAAACAATAGGAACAATACCACATGAAGTACAGGTAGACTACCTTCATCTGGACTCCCCGGGTTACGGCGCTTCCCTATACAGAGCACATTTGGGAACCCAATCGCATATGGAAAAGGCTCTATTCTCTCCACATCACACTCTCTGTCCTTGTCCATTGCAGATCCTGACGCAGAATGAACAGATGCGACAAGAAGCGGATGATGTCGGTCCTAAGGCTGAGCTGGAGCACTGGAAGCAGCGGTTGGCCAAGTTCAACTGTCTTGTTGATCACATCAACAGTCCGCAATGTAGAGTTGTTGTTGGCGTTCTTACTGTTGCGAAATCCAGAATGTTGAAGGTATGATGGTTCGTTCTGCCGTCTGTTTGTCACTGGTGTGTATTCTGTTGATTCACATAGTGAGTACCCTCATAGTACAACTTGCATTGTGGTCGTCCGGTGCACTGGCTTCACAGTTTCACGGCATATCCAGACACAGAGAAAATCATCTCTGTGTGTGCGTGCTTGTCCCTCTGTTCTTTATCAGAGATGGAGAGTCTTGGATACGACCATCACTGAACGGAGCAGTGAAGCCAAGGACAATGTCAAGTTTCTCTACACGTTGGAGAAGTATTGCGAGCCACTCTACCAGAGCGATCCAGTGAGTCATGCCATTGTGAAGACGTGCTATATCTGCCTGTGTCGCGAGGCCGAAGGTCTGAGGGGTTGTTCACTTAGAGTGGCTTTTATGCATATGTTGTGCACTAGGTGTGTTTCACATGATAATTCTTCAACTGGGTTTAGCCGACTTGAGCCAACATTGTGTACTGAGCTTTCATCCTTGTTTGACTATCAATTTCACTGTGATCCGGACAGAACGTGATTCCGGGCCGATTTTTGTAAAGGCCTGTACTCTATTCTTTAGACTACTGAATCACGTATTTGTAGCTTCTGAATAAAATGTTACACCTTGGAAAAGGAAATAGGCCAGTTAGCAGGCAGAAATGCTGAAAAAACTCTTTGTTCATGTTACCCTGTTCATGATGTCGTTTTTCTGTTCTCCAGGTATCCATGGTAACCTCGATTCCCGGCCTGATCAACTCTATTCGTATGATCAACAGTTACTCACGACACTACAATACACCAGAGAGAATGACAGCACTGTTTGTGAAGGTGTGTAAGGGTAGAGAGAGAGAGGCAACGTACGGCAGGAAATGGCATAGACCTGGACATACATTCATATAATAGAGGGAGACAGAGAGAGAGAGAGAGATTGTGCATGCTTAACGTTTCCTTAGAACTCATTGCCATGTGCGATTATGGTACATGACCATCACAGAACTAGTCACAGTTTGTGTGTGTGTGTGTCCGTGTGTGTGTCCATACGTGTGTGTGTGTGTGTGTGTGTGTGTGTGTATGTGTGTGTATGTGCGTGTGTGTCTGTTTGTATGTCGAAACCAGGTGACCAACCAGATGATCACGGCTTGCAAGCGCTATCTGACGCACGAAGGCATGGAGCGTGTGTGGGACCAAGACTTCAGCATGATGTGTGAGAAGATTGCAGCTTGCCTCAATCTAAACGACCAGTATCAGGTCTGTTTCCGTCGCACAAAGGAGAAGTTGCAGCAGAGCAGGAACGACAAGCCGTTTGACTTCAGTGAAATGTACATTTTCGGCAAGTTCACCACGTTCGTTAAGCGGTAAGCTGCTCACCATGAAAGAACACGCGTTGTGTTTGGACCATACATTCTGGAGCAATAATTGACAGAAAAACTATTTTCAAAGGTTTATATGAATGCTACTCCTCTACCAGACGTCTTCCTATGGTCAGTGTTTCCAGATTTCCAATCCACCTCTTCCGGTCTGTTCTAGGCATTGTTTTGTGCCTTATTAAACTGACTGCTTTCTTTTTTTTTGGTTATATGTTGCAGGCTGAATCGCGTCAGGGATGTCATGACCTCGATCACCAAGTACTCTGTGCTGGAGAATTGCCGTATAGAGCAGGTATTGCGTGTGACCATGTCCCTCTTTGGCACTTCATTCGGCCCCTGATATTCTTTAATGGAGCTGGGCCAGTTCAGATATATTTCATTAAAATTGTGGGTGGCCCAGGCAGCCATAACTGCCCCTTTCCTATCAGTTGGCATGGAAATGGACCCTTTCTTACTTACAGGACTGTCGCCGAGCCCCTACACTGAGCCATCCCACCCCAAAAGAGGTTGCTTCTGCCCTGAACAAATTATCCTGGAGTAGAAATACAAAGGGGAAGTTTAGCATAACTACCATAATGGTCATCAGGATAGATTTTTAAACTTCTTTTTGACCCTACTGTGACACGCTACTCGTATGCCATTTTTTGTTGTTATTGATGCTATTGTTGTTTCTGTGTGTGATTTCTCTGCAGATTGACAGTGAAGGTCTTTGGAAAGCGGTGAACTTGGCTGCTACCAACTTGGTGAAGCGGCCGTATGATGTTCTGGATCACCGCCGCCCTGAGTTCGATCAGGACTACGACGACTTCAAGGGCAAAATGGCTGATCAACACGTTAGTATGGAAAGGCTCACACTACAACAACATTTGCTGATATTGCAAATAATATTATTCCAATGAAGCCTTCATGGAGCTACATGATGAACTTTATGAATCCGTCACTGCCAAATACTCACACAAATGAACTTGAGTCATCTCGAAATGCAATTCCCAGGCAAAATGTCATTATGCTTGGATTAAGAATGGACCATGTTACCCTCGTGCCAGGGCACGAGTTCCCAATTAACTGTGGGTCGCAGCACGGCTGGAAAAATTCCTTCCGCTTCCAAGCAGGACTTGAACCTGGTACCCTCTGTTTCTCAATCATAGTCTTAGACCATCCCACTATGCTTGCCTGCATAGATGCAGCTAATGGGATTCGGTCTTTTACCACTTGGTGGTGGGTCTGATCTACTCACCTCCCAGCGTTTAGGCGCTGCATCTGCGCCTTGATCCTAGAGGGTGGTGGCGTTCCCACGGCGGATGCGGAAAACTCGGCTTCCAGCTGAGTCTCACGCGAACCGTGAAATTTAATTTTTTTTAAAAGAATGGACTCGGATGGAGAGTCGAGGATTGTTGATCGTTAAGTTACTGGTGGTGTTAGTGGACATTGTAGCGTAACTTGTAGTTCCTTGGTCTTTTTTCTTTTCTATTCTTGGCTTAAGGAAACGTTCTGTGCTGGTTTGTAGTCCTGGTAGTTTTGTCCTTAGAATCATCTTTGCCACATCTTCTCCCGATCATTCTTTTCTTAGAATCGACTATGCCACGTCCTCTCCCAGTCATTCTCCATCATCCAGTCTACACCGCGGTCATTGCGTCTTCTTGAAAGATACAGTCGGTAAGCTGCCCAGCATGATTTCTCTACTAGATTTCTGTATTTGTTCAAAAAGCGAGCAGAGTACTGCAAACTAGCATGTGGATTCTCTGTTTCGGATTGGTGTGTCACTCTGCAAAGGACTTAAAAGTCCTTGTACCAATTATCAGATCATATTTTGTGTTTGCTTGAATCGTAGCCTAAACACCCTGATGTCAGTATTAGTTAGCACTAAGACCCACTGACTTCGTAGTCCTCTTGTGTGCACATGTCTTTGCTTACCCGACTTCTTGCAATGTACGAGGAAATGAACGGTCTTGAGCATGGCTGTGCGCTCGCTCGCATGATTTCTTGTGGCGTGTGCATGCAGTTTGAAGATGGATGACATCGGCCTGGACGAAGCCTACAAAGCTGTCCTTACTCACTTCGAGAAGGACATCATCGCCGTGCAGAAGCTGTACATGGAGCTGAAGGACGGACCTCCGATTGACAGAGATATGCCTCCGCTGGCAGGTAGGGGTGACTTCCTGAGGAAAATATACAGTCTCTTTGTGCGTGCGTGCAATGAAGAACACAAAACCTGTTGACATCAGCTTTCCAGTGGAGCCTAAGAACCCTGTGTGTATGAATGCATGTGTTGCCTGAGCTTGCAGCTGGTTTTGTTGACCCATGTTATACTATAGAATAAAGGGGTTCTTGATGTGCTCAAGTTGTACCTATGTTGCTTGCCTGGATCAACCCAGGTAATATGCAGGAAGTGCTATCAGGGTTATCTTGCGATGTGTGTCTCTGTTGGCTTGCAGGTCGCATTGCATGGGCTAGACAGCTGCGCCGCCAACTTCAAGATCCCATGGAAGTGTTCAAGGAGCGGCCCATGCTCCTGAAAGGCATGGACGCCAAGCGAATGATCCGCAAATACAACAGTGTCTGCACGGTGCTGATGAAGTTTGAAATCCTTTTCTACAATGCTTTTGAAGAGAGGGTATGTTGAGATTGTATGGTTGATGTGGGTGAATGTTTCGTCTGTTGTACAGTGGGTGTACTTACAGCTCCTTCTTAGGCTAATGGATGATGAATGCATGCATTGGAAGTTACCCCATGTTCCTTCTCCATCGGACTTGATGAAATGATGTGATAGTACGGTGTCCGCTTATTGCTACTCAAAACTACATGTAGGCGTTTGTATGACTTGTCCCATAAAGGATTACGTAGCCAGTGATGGTGGGGAATGCAGATCATGTTCGCATGTGCATGTATGTACATGTACCCCATTTCCCCATTTTTCTTGCGATATTTATGTGGGAGACTTCCGTGATAAGCATCCATTTGCTTTTGGAGAATCCTTTTAAATAAATACAATACAATACATGTAGAGTAAGACCTGTAACTGAAGACCACCGTGACTAGCGACCAGGCTGGCACTACTGACCACCGTGACTAGCGACCAGGCTGGCACTACTGACCACCGTGACTAGCGACCAGCCTGGCACTACTGACCACCGTGACTAGCGACCGGCCTGGCACTACTGACCACCGTGACTAGCGACCGGCCTGGCACTACTGACCACTTCGGCAGGCACGGACGGTCTCACATTCATATTATATTATGGTTGTGCGGTGCCAACCTCTAACTAAGGACCACCTGCCACCATAGACCGCTTTCTCTGGCCCCAAGGGGTGGTCGTTAGTTGCAGGTTTTACTATGGTTGTGCGGTGCAAACCTCTAACTAAGGACCACCTGCCACCATAGACCGCTTTCTCTGGCCCCAAGGGGTGGTCGTTAGTTGCAGGTTTTACTATGGTTGTGCGGTGCAAACCTCTAACTAAGGACCACCTGCCACCATAGACCGCTTTCTCTGGCCCCAAGGGGTGGTCGTTAGTTGCAGGTTTTACTATGGTTGTGCGGTGCAAACCTCTAACTAAGGACCACCTGCCACCATAGACCGCTTTCTCTGGCCCCAAGGGGTGGTCGTTAGTTGCAGGTTTTACTATGGTTGTGCGGTGCAAACCTCTAACTAAGGACCACCTGCCACCATAGACCGCTTTCTCTGGCCCCAAGGGGTGGTCGTTAGTTGCAGGTTTAACTGTACAATGTTTGTGGAAACTGGACATAGCGCAATACAGAAAGGCCTATAAAACACTTTATTCTGTGCTATTTCTGCCATCCCCCTTGTCTCTGTGCTATTTCTGTCATTACCCTTGTCTCTGTGCTATTTCTGTCATTACCCTTGTCTCTGTGCTATTTCTGTCATTACCCTTGTCTCTGTGCTATTTCTGTCATTACCCTTGTCTCTGTGCTATTTCTGTCATTACCCTTGTCTCTGTGCTATTTCTGTCATTACCCTTGTCTCTGTGCTATTTCTGTCATTACCCTTGTCTCTGTGCTATTTCTGTCATTACCCTTGTCTCTGTGCTATTTCTGTCATTACCCTTGTCTCTGTGCTATTTCTGTCATTACCCTTGTCTCTGTGCTATTTCTGTCATTACCCTTGTCTCTGTGCTATTTCTGTCATTACCCTTGTCTCTGTGCTATTTCTGTCATCCCCCTTGTCTCTGTGCTATTTCTGTCATTACCCTTGTCTCTGTGCTATTTCTGTCATCCCCCTTGTCTCTGTGCTATTTCTGTCATTACCCTTGTCTCTGTGCTATTTCTGTCATTACCCTTGTCTCTGTGCTATTTCTGTCATTACCCTTGTCTCTGTGCTGTTTCTGTCATTACCCTTGTCTCTGTGCTATTCCCAGGTGTCATCTCTGCTGAGTAGTCTCCATGCACCACTGCTGTTGAGAGTTCCAGAGACCGATAACATGCTGGTCAACTTGGACAAGAGGATTCTGGAAGGACTACGTGAAGCCGATTGCTTGCACAGAGTTCACGGCCTGGAGATCCCCAAGGCTGCCGTGCGACTGCTGAGCATGGATGAAAAGCTGAAAAACACGGCTGATGAGCTCAAGGTCAGCCTTCAGATCTACTTCCTAGTTTAAACGTGACATACATTTAGTGTGTACAGGGTGTACGGGTATGTGTGTAGTATTGAGAGTTGAAATAGGCAATTCTTGAGCAAATTGGCTGTGTTAATGCGTGTTTGTGTTCTCTCTCTCTCATTGCTAATGATAGCGTCTTATCTCAGAAAGAGAAGCACTCCTGTCACAGATTCCAGAGGTTCTGCAGCGCATCTCCCGGCCGCTTGTGGAAAAACTTGACGAGGCATTCCAGCCGGGGTTGACATCCATCAATTGGACGAGTGTTTTGATTGAGAAGTTCATCAGTCAGTGCAACGTTGAGTTGGAGATCTGTAACCTGCTGTTGGACAGAGCACTGGAAACGGTGCGGTTTAGAATAGACAAGGTTCTCACGGATATGGTGGCCTGTCCGCTTGTCACACTGCCCGATGAGGAGCCATGGACAATCGAAGAGTTCCTGGTCACAACAGAGGTTAGAACTTGCTGTGTATTTATTGTTCCTCGAGATTCTCTCCATTGGTTAAGTGCAGACTGTGTGTTGTCTCCTTGCCCAGTGGTAGTGCACAGCGGCCCAGCAGCTCTACACACCTCTTCTCTGTTTTCTGTACACGTGACAAACTGATGATGTAATGGATGATGTAATGGACGATGTAATAGTTATAACTATGATGTAGTGGACAAGGTATCAAATATTTTGGTGTCTAAGCTGTGCACGTCATACTGCATACTGCATAATGTTATGACAACACGCATGGTACGAAGTGGAGTCTGGCATGGTGTTAACCTTGTCAAGTGTATGTCACGACGGTCTGACAGCATTACACTTTGTGTGCACATGCCGTTTTGTGCATTTCCACTCGGTGCAGAAATGTTGTGTCGATGGTGCCGTTCTCCTGGAGACCAAGAACATATCAGTGGAGACGGCTACTCACGAATTGACTGACATCCTGATGGAAGCAATGCCGGAATTTTGGTGTCTAAGCTGTGCACGTCATACTGCATACTGCATAATGTTATGACAACACGCATGGTACGAAGTGGAGTCTGGCATGGTGTTAACCTTGTCAAGTGTATGTCACGACGGTCTGACAGCATTACACTTTGTGTGCACATGCCGTTTTGTGCATTTCCACTCGGTGCAGAAATGTTGTGTCGATGGTGCCGTTCTCCTGGAGACCAAGAACATATCAGTGGAGACGGCTACTCACGAATTGACTGACATCCTGATGGAAGCAATGCCGGAAGAGGGTGAAATAGATGCAGAAGTCATGCGAGGTGAGATGACATGGAATGCCAGATATAGTGAAATGCAGTGGCACTCTCGTGTTAGCTTGCTGTTTTCACATCCAGCCTTATATTCGCATTAAGTCTTCCTTCTGCTTTTTCAATGCTTGATTACGTACACACGTCCGGCCATATGCATTGTAAGTGTATTGTTGCAACAATCCTTCTGCATTGATTGTCATGCCTCAGGTCTCCGGACTGGGCAGACCACCATACCCGTTACTTGTGTTAGCGCTCGTAGTATTCTCTTCATGTGTGTGTGTGTGTGTGTGTGTGTGTGTGTGTGTATGTGTGTGTGTGTGTGTGTGTGTGTGTGTGTGTGTGCGCCTCCGGCGATGGGCGTCAAAGGTCAAGGTCAAAGGTGTGTGTGTGTGTGTGTGTGTGTGTGTGCCACTTCAATCAATCACTTGAATGGTGTAATCCCAGCACAAGCTGCTATGTCTAACATAGCTGTTCGCTATCATCGCTTCCGCGATGGGCATGTCTGTGGGCTGACGTCTGAGGTGTGTGTGTTTGTGTGTGTGTTTGCGTGTGTGTGTGTGTGTGTGTGTGTGTGTGTTTATGTGTTTATTTCTGATCAGGTGTTACATTAGCCAATCAAAAAGTTGATGCAGCATTGCTGAGTGAAGACAGTCCTGGTTCGCAGAGCTTGCTGAAGCCCAGCGCCACACGACAATCACTGCAGAAGGAGATCTGGAATGACATGCACACCAAGGGAAAGCTGCCACCTGGTACTCTGACTGTGTTGCGCAGGATGGACCTGCACCAGGAAATGGAACAGGTACGTGAAGTACAGTGAAACCGATCTGAGATGACCGTTCAAAGGACCTTCAAAACGTGGCCTCTGTTACTAGGTGGTCTCATTATCCAACTTCATTTGTCCTGGGTTCAGTGCTAATCAGCTCGCTTCACGGTGGTCTTACTCCCATGTCTATTTCCTCACGTCAAAAAAAAAAAAGGAATATCAATTTTATGCTAAACGGCGGCGTGGAGATGACAATCTAAGCAATGCAGTAGAAACTTGGATGGAATATTTATGTGGCTCATTTTTATCCATGCTTTGCATTACGTCTTCGGATAGGCACAAGAGCATGAAAACTCGACTTAGATGAATACTGATATTTTTTATAAGTTTCAATACATCTCTGTCGTCTTCAGAGTCAAGTCTTGTTCCTATTGTGTAGTTTGGCCACCTGCTCTACTCACTGTTCTAGTCGGCGTAGTCAATGCTAGTCACCTGATACACTCGTCTTCCCTCACTCATTCTGTTCCTGTACCTGCACTAGGCCAGAGAAGAGGTTCTGGTTCATTTTGAGAGACGAACTGTGGATGCACTGTTCAAGTGTGTCAAGTATGCTCTGGAGGCGTTGCGCAAGCGGATACATGGTAATCTTCGCCAGGGTTTGTTGCAGTCGGAGGAGATGGCGGGCATTCAAGACCCCACCGGTCCCAGGAACTACGATGTGATATTTAGAACGGACGTTGAACTGGCCTTGCCGAGCGTTATCGCGCGACCCGGTCTTGAGGATCTACAGAGTGCGATTAACATGGCATCTCAGGTACTCATTGTCGCCTTGTGTTGTTGTTGTTGTTGTTGTTGTCTTGATGCACTTGTATCAATATTGAATCTCTGGTTCGTTATTGCAAAAATCAGAAGCGCAGAGTATGCTGGTTGGCCGTTGATGTACACTGGCTGTAGAAAAGCGGACACACACATCAATGCAATTGTATGGGCCTGCTATATGCATCACAAATCTTGTTTCTGCTTTTCAACACCTCACCATGCTGTGATTGCTAGTGAGAAAATGTCCAAGTGATGGGACTTTCATTTTACCCATAGATCTTCATGCATGTGTAAGTGTACATGTTTCCACATGATGTTGTCTGTTTTCGGTGTTAGATGATAGTGGAGACTGCACAGTCGGTACTGAAGTGGGGCGAGGCTCACCCGCTTCTCAACCTACCCACGGTGCATGGCAGGGTCTCGAAGACATCCATCGCTTCCACGTCTGCTCAGCTGACGGCATCCATGGTCGATTTCCGAGCGTCGCAGGTCATTACCTCTCTGAACTCGCCGCGTACGCGTCGCTCTCAAACCAACATGGCTAGACAGGTGTCGTTTGCGCCACAGCGTAAGAACTACGGTTCGACGATATCGGAAAACAAGGAAATAGTCAAGATGCTGTCGCATATGTCTTCCATGATCCTAGGCTTCAGCCCAACGTTGAAAACCGCCCTGGATATGTTCACGCACTACTCACCGCTTTGGAGCAGGGAATGCAACCACACTGTTGCAGAATTTGTTGACTCCAATCCGCTGCTGATCGACTTCAGAAGTGAAATGCGGCACTACACGGCGTTGGAAACCGACATCGTTGCCGAGCCTGAATTTCTCTACGTTGGGCCAGTGCAATTGTTAACTGGTAGGTAATGTGTATGCTACTTGATATATTCCATAACTAGGAGTTGTGACAAAGCTTCCAAACTCTCTCTTGTGTTGTATTCCATAACTACTCAATCTTCTTACAGCTAGCTGTTTAGACATTCTTAGGTCTTGGCCCGGTTTTCCATATCTATACATTGTAGCAGTGAAAACGGTATGACATGTCTTCTCCTCACCTAGGGTGGGGTAGGGTGCTCCGACGGGTATTTCTAACAAAGGGTGAAAAGAGCCTGAATAAGCAGATGAGTTTGTAAGGCAGACTACATGCTTGGCTATCTTGCGCTTTTCGGTTTTTTTTTTTTTTTTTTTTTTTGATGGTGGTCGAGTATTCATAGCCTCTATCGGATAGACCTTTGTGGAGTCATAGCCTATATCGGATAGACCTTTGGGGAGTGTAGTGAAATAATCCGTACTTACCATTTTCTATCCTTTTTAGCACATCCCTTCTTTCTGACCGCAAGAAAAAGCGCAACTTCACCAAATGTCTTCCGTTTCCACCCTTTGAAGTGCGCATCAAAGTATTCCCAAGTAGGCATTGACAACTTAGTGGAGCCTGTGTCAAATATTCGGAAAAGGAAATTTCGTATCTTGTTTCTCTTGCATTGACTTGCTCCTTGCCTCCATCTTTGAGCAAAGACCTTCGTTTCAGATAATGTGTTTGATGGCAACAATTTACCAATGATCCCATTTGCTCATAGTTACTCACCACTCCTGTCTTGGTATGATTGCATTCATCATGCAAAGTCTGAGCTTACCATAGTGGATTCTAAATGTCATTTGCTGAAAGTTCCATGGATGTATTTTTGGATTTGTGCAGAGAATCTGAAGGCTGCTCTATCAGCAGAGGCAAAGAACTGGATGCTGGGATATGGACGCGCTTGCAATGTCAAGTATCGTGGCGTGATGGAGAAGCTGATGGACTTCATGGAGGATGCTGCTAAGCGGCTGCAACGCCCTGTCAAGGATCTGGATGACGTCCGCTTTGTCATGGCCGCCCTGAAGGACATCAGAGAGCGAGAAGTGGAGATCGATCAGGCATTGCCAGATGTTGAGGTCAGTGAGAGATTGCCCTTTTGTTGTCAGGCAGTCGGACATCACACAGGGAATGTCTTCAAGCCCATATTCTATTTGTTGTGTAATCTACATTGTTTTTCATGTGTACGGCCTGGCCCAAGTGTTCAATTTTACTTCTGTATGATGTGGATGTATGGTTCCTTTCTATTTTACACACAATAATTATGTTCTCCCTTTCTCTTCCTCCCCCTCTCTACCTTCCTCACACTTGCCCCTTTCTTGTGTCTAGGAGTCGTATGCTATCCTGACCAAGTTTAGCATTCCTGTCACCATTGAGGAGTTTGAGCGTGTTGACACCCTACGCTACACCTGGGCAAGGCTAACGGCTCTGGTGACAGAAGTGCAGAGTCATCTGCTGGATGTACAGCCCATCTTCCACAGGAACCTCGTGTCTGGAGTTGATGTCTTCCAGACAGACGTACAGGATTACATCGGTGACTTTGATTCGGTAAATTGGAATTGGAAGGACTGTGTGCTTCTGCCTACTAGTAAATACCCCGCTAGCCAGACTGCTGGGGTGAATTCACGAATAAAGACTTGGGTATGAACATAGTGTGAAGCCGGCAACTGTCACTCAGAGCTCTGCCAAAGCATTTCCAGTGGGTCCTTCATAACTTTATCGCAGTCCTCGATTACTGTATGAAGTGGTGGGGTTAGCCTAGGCTAATCAAGGTGGAATCTGCCAGCGATGCCATTTGAAGCCACCAAAGCCTAAGTTGGATGCGTGTCATGTCGTCTTGCCGAATTGCTACTCCTTTGCAGGGGCGTACATAGGGCGGTTCCCGGGATGCCCGGGAACCAGTAAAAAAAATTCGATATGGGTACGGAGAATGTTTTGATTTAGGCCCAGGCCCAGCGCTGTGCATGCCTGGAGTCCGCCTGATGGTCCAAGGCGTCGGTGACTTGCCCAGGTGTAAAAGTGGTGCTGGGACTGGGACACAGCGTAGACTGGGCCATGGATATATGGGTGTACTGACTGAACTGGGTTCAACAAAGTCGCTACTTTACATCGCCGGATTCCTCGATCTCCGAGTCAAATTTTCCTTTGCAGGTTGTTTTGACAAAGTTGGTCGTGTTTTCGACGATGCTTTCGCTTTGTGGAAAAGAAAAATGAAGTGTCAACATCCAGAGGGCCAGCGCTCTATTCAGGTCAAGCGATAGCGGAGAATGCAGACGCACCTGACTTGCAAGCGAAGTCTGCATGCAACGAGCAGCGCTGAGGAAGAAATCGTCGGCGAAGCTGTAGAGTGACCGTTGTCGGAAGCTGCTGGATCATCCAAAACTTACTTCAGTGACATGGGAGCGTGTTGGAAGGTATATGTGTTGAAGGGATATTCTGAAAGTCTACGTCCACAGTGGAATCCAGTCCCCCGAAATGTGCCGGACACGGAAAAGATTTCCGTCATCGACAATCATTGTGCGCCACCGAAGGCGAAGGATTTCATTTCCAGGGCGTTTCCAGACGGATGGCAAACAGCGCCGCTTTCAACTATCCTTGTTGGAGGAGTTACCCTGCGTAGTCTTTTGACCAGCGTGCAATGGTGGCTTCTGCTTGCCCTGTGTGATGTTTGCTCCAGATGATTCGAAACTTACTAAGCTCGCTTTCAAGACTGCATGCAATCGTCATGCTGAACAAAACATCCATAAAACGGGGAAAGTTCAGTCTTTTAAAATCAAAAATGCATAGCAATGACATCTTCCAGCAGCTTGTGGATGTTAATTTCACCCAGTCTGAAGAGAATATGCAGAAACTCCGTAGGATACGAAAAACAGCACTTCAATTGTGTGGAATGTTGGTTCATCAGTTGGCATGGGAACCACTCCTGGCGGCGAGCGGCGTACGCCCCTGCTTTGTGTAAGGGCAATCAGTATTCATGATATCTACTGCTTGGATCATGTTGACCCTATGCCTACTGAGCTTCTGTGTGATAACTTGTGATCTTGCAGAAAGGACCAATGGTGGAGGGACTATCCCCACAAGATGCCAGCGACAGGCTTGTCATGTATCAGGTATTGATAATAATACAGTCACACTGCACACTGCACAAAGATCAATGATTTGCTTTCCCTTTATATCACATGTACCACTGAAATCAAATACACTGGTATCTTTCCCAGCAAATCTATACTGTCAATTCCTCTCGCTGTTGCTTATGCCAGTAGCTTACGTCGTACTGACAGTACTATTTCTTCTTTCCGTCCAGAACAACTTTGACACTCTGTGGAAACAGTTTACAACATACTCGGAGGGCGAAGAACTGTTTGGGTTGTCAGTGACCGACTATCCTCGACTGCAGCAGATTCGCCGTGACCTGGCACTGCTGCAGAAACTCTACAGCCTGTACAACAATGTACTGGACACGATCAACGGGTATGTGATTCAGTAGTGTCTCATCACCTGTTTTGTACCCAGGACTCCAATGTTGATATTGTCGGATTGTGTCAAAATGTCATTCCGTGACATTATAGAAGGGATGTTAAAATGAACGCAACTCCGTGAGGAAGAATGACCGAGATCGGACTCACGTCTATCCAGTGTTCTACAACAGCTCATATAGAAATGACTTTATAGAAGTTGAAATTATCGGAGTGTTTTCAGGTCTGATAAAATGCTGTTGGGTTCTACCGTGACTGATGTATCCTTCTTCCTGGCTTTCTTTGATCTTTTTGCTGTTTGAATAGTTACTTTGATTTGCTGTGGTCTGACGTTGACCCAAATAAGATCAATGCGGAGCTGCTGGAATTCCAAGCAAGGTATGTTTGTAGGGTCAGTTTCATGTCCGATCCATGCCTTGCATTGCTTATGTGGTACACGAGCACCAATAGATGCTTATTGATGCGCTGCGTTTACTTACTTTCTGAGCCATTGGGTTTCCAACGCCTGAATGTAGCCATTTGGTTCTTTTATAGAATACTGCATGGTAGATTTGTATTTGAAGCAACTGTTGTTTTTCTGTGGCACTACTAGTATTTTGTGCGGTAACATTGTTTTTCGGTACTCAGGTGTCGTAAGCTGCCCAAGGGCTTGAAGACATGGCCAGCCTTCATGGACTTGAAAAAGAAGATTGACGACTTCAGCCTGACCTGCCCTATCATTGAGCTGATGTCGGACAAGGCGATGAAGAAGCGTCACTGGAAGAAGCTGGAGGAGATCACCGGAGTCGAGTTCGACTTTGAGTCCGAGGCTTTCTCTCTGCGCAATGTGATGAAAGCCCCGTTGCTAGAGAATCAGGAAGATATAGAGGTACGCTAAGTTTGCAGGGATTTTACATGATTCTTAGTGTGACTGTGCAGTGAATATACCGGTTGTCACTGGCTGTTGACTCCACATGGACACGTGTACAATATAAGAATATTTTTGATGGATTACTCTGAAAGAAAGGGTTTGCTCCCCACATATTTTTTATGGATTACTCTGAAACCTTGCCTAATTTTGTTGGTATCTGTGTGAATATAAGGTAGCTCAATAATGGTCTTATCAGTTTTTCTTCAGTGAGTGTACTTTTCTATATTCATTGTGTTTTTGCTGTTGTCTTGGTCACTGGTCCTAGGACACCTGTATTGCCGCTCGCAAAGAAAAGGACATCGAGGCAAAGCTGAAGCAAGTCATCTTGGACTGGGAGACACAGGTAACTTTAACACATTAAGTCAGTTGATACTTGAACAGGCGGCGAGGTGACAACAATTTTAAGATGGTATCAGCTGAAGCGACATGTTACAAAGGTTTTATTGAGTTGATACTGCCTGTTGTTTCCTACCATCTGTTCCCATATACTGCTGTGTGGATAGCAGTTTGACTGGCCATCGCCTAGATCATTGGCAGGGAGGTTTTCGGAAACTAGAGTGTGTTAGTAGTAAACTTTGTACTAAGCGATATGTCTGCTTCAGCTCATACCAGACTGTGCTGTTCTGTGCGCTTGTGGAGTACGTGCAAATGAGCTGTAGTCTATAGTGAATAGAGCATGGCAGGGACTGAAACACTTTGATTAGATTTTGCTATGTTTGGCAACTGTACACATAGCACATAAGCCACTGGTGAATCAGATGAGGCTTTAGGCACCATTGTTTTTCATAATTGGTGCATTTGTGATTCGAGCAGCAGCTAATAAGTTCTTGTATCCAGCTTTGTGGGCGGTCCAATGGCGTCATCAAATTTGCCGGTGGCCTTTGTGCCATATGCGCTAATTTGCCTTCCTGCAGCATTATCTCGATCAACAACACACTCTCCTTCAGCTGTACGGGGAGCATATTGTGAAGAGTTCTGAGTTGGCACCTCCATTCAGAGTATACTTATGTTCCCTACACACTATGTAATCATGTGCCCCATTCAGGTGCTACGTTTCTCATCATTCAAGAGCCGTGGAGAGTTACTGCTGCGTGGTGATGAGACAGCTGAGACAGTGTCCATCATGGAAGACAGTCTGATGGTGCTCAGCTCACTGCTGAGTAACAGGTACGCACTCAGGGTGCGGATGAGAGCCGGTATAGGATTACATTGGGCGGCCGTGTAGTGCAAGCCATGTGTATGTTACCTTGGTTTGCACATGATAGAGAAAGGAAGCCGTGTTGCAACTCAGAGTTTCACACTCATTCACCATCATCAGGAGGTCTTGATATTTTGGTCTGTGTAGAGGTATCTGGTGTAGGTTGCACCATTGTTTCCTTGCTGAAATATCTTTCTGACATACAATCGGATCTTATTATATAAACCATGCCCCATGCAGGTAATGCTATTGAATGGCAGTTGCATTAGGGTAGTGGTAGCATGATAACATTAACTATATTATGCACCTGGTTTCTCACTGCTTCAGGTACAACGCCCCTTTCAAATCTCAGATCCAGCTGTGGGTACGGAAGCTCAGTGACACAACGGACATCATTGAGAACTGGCTGCAAGTCCAGAATCTCTGGATCTACCTTGAGGCAGTGTTTGTCGGTGGTGACATCGCACGTCAACTACCCAAGGTAAAGCCTGCATATACTGAGGGGGAGGGGGGGGGGGAGAGGGGTAACATCGAAGATTCATTCTGGAATTATGCATGCCATCCATACTAGTCCTTCTGTGCTTGTACTACGCTAAGCTTAAATTGCACCCCTGACTTGATAGTACAAGACATAGTTCACTTCCAACCATCCTCTCCTTCTTCCTCAGTTCGTTACTCGCCCCCCCCCCCCCCCCCCCCCCTCTCTCTCCTCTTCATGGTCTATCTATGCGTGGTAGTACATTGACAAAACCTTGGTGTAATTTTGCTTTCTTTGTCCTGCAGGAGGCAAAGCGCTTCCAGAATATTGACAAGTCCTGGGTGAAGATCATGACGAAAGCTCATGAAACGAGTAATGTTGTACAGTGCTGTGTTGGTGATGAGATGCTGGGGCAGTTGCTTCCACATCTACTGGAACAACTTGAGCTATGCCAGAAGTCTCTCAGCGGGTGAGTTCACTCCCACTTTAGACAGATAGTGTTGGTATTGGTTTCATCATCTCACAAGCCTGTACACAGATGGTGCATGTGTGGAGGTGTGATGTTGTGCATGTGTGAGTATACCCATCTACACCTTAGTTTGGCTACATCATGGGTTATTGACCATGGCAGCTTTGGTCTATGTTTGCATATATCTATTGCACACATTGACTAAAAGTTAAAAAAAAGTAAATTATCGTGTCCGTTCCCGAAGGGAACTCACGACGGCCGCTAACACCCGATCACACATTGACTGAGGTTGCATAATTGTATCTATTCCACACATTGACTCAGGTTGCATATATCATGAGCGTAGGAACCGGTCCAGCAGGCCCGGCCGTCGCCGGACCAATAATTTTCGATTTTTTTTTCATTTTTCAACCTTGTTGATGGCTTGTCGACTCTTGTACAGGTACCATGTTTTACATCGACAATGCGGTGTATCATCAGCATGCATATTCTTATTTCTCATATTATTCTGTGGCATTAAAATATGGCCTTTTAGGCCCAATTTTCAAAAAAATCCCGAGGGGAGGACCCCGGACCCCCTCTCACAATTTCGCCGTACCAATATTAAACTGCTTCCTACGCCCCTGTATATCTATTCCACACATTCAGTGTCTGCTCCAGCGCCGGGTGAGCCGGGTAATCCACCCGGTTGGGCGGCGCTTGGACCCGGTTGAAAATACAGTACCGGGTCACCTGTGACCCGGTTGGTACTTTACACTTTCGAACTTTGAAAGGACTGATTACATGGCTTGTATGTGTCAGATACTTCTTCTTCTTTCGTAATTTTCTAATTCCTGTCCTCTCTTTTCTAAATGCGGCTTATCCATTCGCTTTTATATCATTAGGCCTAGTTCCCGTTTACGGTCCGAATTAAAATAAACCAACCAACCAGTTAAATCATGTGACTCGGCTGGTGAGACAGCGCCAGGTACATGTGTACCCGGCTCTGACCCGGTTGAAATGGTTGCGCCAGGTGCACGTGTACCCGGCTGTCCTACAATCCTAGAGCAGACACTGACATTGACTGAGGCTATCAGTCTATGACATCCTTGGATACAATAGCAGCTAGCAGATTACATTTCCAATGAGCCACCGTGTTGTACATGTAAGTCACTGTAGCTGGGATATCGATCAATGGAGCCAAAATTGCGTTCTGGTTATGCTCTGCTGCTCAGGTACTTGGAGCGCAAGCGTCTCGTCTTTCCTCGTTTCTTCTTCGTGTCTGACCCGGCCTTGCTGGAGATTCTGGGGCAGGCTAGCGATTCCCATACCATCCAGGTTAGTAGCTAGTCAAGAAACGCATACCATGCTCACCTCTCCACTTATACTGTATATATACAGTAAAACCTGGTGTAAGTGACCACCCCACGGTGCAAGCAAAAGCGGTCGTTAAAGCCAGGTGGTCTTTAGAACCAGGTCCCACAGTGTCTGTGTAGAACTGTCGGTGCATGGATAAACGGTCGTTAAGCTTTGGCTCACCATCCGAGTTAAGAGCAGGTGGTCGCTAAACACAGAGGTCGCTTACGTCAGGTTTTACTGTATTCCAGCCTAACCTAAATAATACAGGCATCTCTTGAGGCGTGTGTTTTCCTCCATCAATACAAATCCATTCAATTTACATGATCTTTTCTAAGACTGGGATTGTGCATTCTGTACTGTTTATCGCACTCGTTTCATTCCTTGAGAAGCTGGCCTGCATTCCACACACTCTCAATGTTGTCAAACTCTAGACAGGGCAGTGCACGTACCACGGAAGTCCCATGGCATGCAGGGACAATGTTTTAGGTCCACTGTACCTTGTTGTTGGAATGAGAAGTAATATGTTGTTGTTGCTGTTGTTGTAAGAATGAAGTTGAACTGATGTTGGTGGTGGTCAGAAGGAGAGCTCTGTGCCAGAATAACTTTGCAGCCTAGAGAGCGTGTGTGGGCAGGCGTGTGTTTACCGCCATATTGCCAGGTGTGTGTTAGCCACCATATTTATCAACCATACTGCTGTTGTAGTCATTCTATTGCTGAAATGATGCATGCATTTCTTGCTGACAGGCTCACTTGCTGAGTGTCTTTGACAATGTCAAGTCAGTTACGTTCCACGAGAAGGACCGTGATCGCATCATCAAGATTCACTCGCAGGAAGGAGAAAGTATTGATGTAAGTCCAGGACACAAACTTTGTCTAATAGTTCATGGATATAGACTTCCGTGCTCAACACGGGCTGAAGTTGCTCGTATCTTCTGAGTGTTTATGTCCTTGAAGAAGAATTGATCCATACAACCCAATAATCATGGTTCATGTTGTCTTTTCTCCACTTCAACACCCTTTGATTCTATTCCACTGCTCCATGTACAGCTGGAGAAGCCAGTCAGGGCAGAGAACAATGTCGAGACCTGGCTTGGGCATCTTCTACGCATGGTCTGCCAGTCAGTAGCTGCCGTCATTCGCAATGCAGCATTGACCATCTCTGAACCAGATTTCAATCTGATGAACTTCTTGGAGGCGTATCCTGCCCAGGTACCCTCTTAATGTTGAATCCATCGGTTGATTGTTTGCTCTGCATACTGTGTACCTGTCAGCTGTATCAGAACTACAGTGGCAGTGAAACCTGTATAAGACGACCGCTCAAGGTCTCTGTTACCAGGTGGTCTCCTTATCCAGGATCATTTGACTGTAAATAGCATCCCTTGGTCCTGGTTGCAGTGGTCTTCTAGGTCAGGTGGTCGCCTTATTCGAGTGGTCACCTTGACAGGTTTTACTGTATGCCGTGTTGAAATGTGAAGAATTGAAGATATTACTGTACATCATTCAGTTCATGTTGCGGTGCTGATCATTCCGCATCTATTCTACGGGTACTTAATCGAAATGAGGTAAAGTTAGCGGTGAATGTTTTCGCATTGTCCAATTTTCCTGACGTATTTACTAATTTTGGTACATGTATGTGATCATCTGCATGTGTTGTGTTTGCCATGTCATTCTACCTGCAGGTTGGTCTGCTGGGCATTCAGCTGATCTGGACCCGTGACGCACAGTATGCACTGACACATGCCAAGTCTGATAAGAAGATCATGGCTGCCACCGACAAGAACTTTCAGATCCTGCTCGACGACCTGATCGATACGACCACTCGCAACCTGACAAAGATGGAGCGTAAACGCTTTGAGACACTCATCACCATCCACGTTCATCAACGTGATATCTTCCACGACTTGGTATGTACTTGCCTAGGCGGTGCTCTTTATGCTATGGGCAAGGTACTCATTGTTTCAGCTCATATGCCTTTAATATAAAGATGAGTTTGCAAGATGATCAAACATGACCTGGTGTAGGATATATGCAGGGTCCAGGGTAAGGGGATGAAGGTACCTTGTACACTGTGCAGTCCCAGTCCCTGTTGCTGTTAGTTTCCTGGAACCAGTTATTCATGCCATTTATGTAAGTACCTTAGTAAGTCAAAGGTTTGCTCCCCACTCTGGAGCTCGCGCTATTCCGCCGAAGTCGATGGACTTCTCGTATTCTGGATGGCAGTCATGGGTCACTCAAATGTCAAGTCAAGTCGGCGGAAAAGCGCGAGCTCCAATGTGGGGAGCAAAACCTTTCCTAGTAATCATCGCCGAAGTCGCAACCACTATATCTAAATAAAACCCTTGGTTATCATCTGCTTTGTTACTTTGATTATGCAGTGTATATGTAAGTATCGGCACTATCATTTGTGCTCCATCCTCTCCGGGCCCCAGGGACAACACCCAGTCCAATGTTGGCATTGGTAGCACTAGCATAGCAGAGGAAATGGCTACTAGTATGCTTAGTGATGGTGTGCAATGTTGTCTTGTCCAGGTCCAGCAACACATACGTAGTGCGCAGGACTTTGAGTGGCTGAAGCAGAGCCGCTTCTACTCCAACGAGAAAGACCAGGTTGTGATTAGCATCACAGACGTGAACTTCATCTATCAGAACGAGTACCTGGGTTGCACTGACCGACTTGTCATCACACCTCTAACTGACAGGTATGTGTGTGTGTGCTCGCTTGAGCAAAAAGTTCAAGTCATGTTTCTACTGGTATTTGCAGTTAGTCTGGCTGTTGCTGCTCACAGTTCATGATACAGTTAATTAACACAGCGTATAGTCATGGTCTAAAATGTGATCAATATTCCCTACCCCTCGTATGTACCAAAGATATTTAATGGTAAAGATCTCCTTGAAATTATAAAAGTCCGTCGGAAATTTGATAATCAACTATGTTCGCGATGGTTTGAATAAGGCTATTAAGGTCGGAGAATGTACTTACTGCACTCCTTTATATCGTCATTTAGTCTGTTTTCTACTCGTGCACATATGCAGGTGTTACATCACCCTAGCTCAAGCTCTGGGCATGAACCTTGGCGGAGCGCCAGCTGGTCCGGCTGGAACAGGCAAAACAGGTTTGTATTGTCTGTCCATTGCTTTGTACTTCAGAGTAGCTGCAGAACATTACAAGGGAACCCTTCGCAGCCTCATTGTGTCCTGACGCATATTGCACCATGTATTTGTAGTAGGTGATGTGTATGCACACCGGTATATGGCATTAAGCAGGTCTCGTCTGTCTATCCATTATGACGGGGTTAATAATAGAAGTCCAATATGTTAGCGCTATGAGGACCTATGAAGACTATCAGTTGTCTATTTCTGTGTCTGTGTCTGTGTGTGTGTGTGTGTGTGTGTGTGTGTGTGTGTGTGTGTCTGTGCACTGCTGCAGAGACTGTGAAGGACATGGGAAAGACACTGGGCAAGTACGTCGTGGTGTTCAACTGCTCTGATCAGATGGATTTTCGAGGACTAGGTCGCATCTTCAAAGGTACGTTCTTCCCATGCTTCCAATTTAAATTAGTTGCCTTTGCTATTCTGTACTGCAAGCAGCTATGCATGTATATCCCATCTGCATTAAACATCCTCAGTGATGTTTTCAAGGCACACATAGAAGTTCCGTGTACAATGTGGACATCATGAAGGTTATATTGATCTCAGCAAAGACATGCTGGACATGGTCATTTCCCACTGTACTCGAAACCTGTGAATACTGCCTTAGAGTAACGGATGTACTTCTTCCATTAACAATGCATGTGCCCTTATGGCTAAGCAAACCACACAGACCACACACGCACACACATATCAATGTGACAATCTGATTCTCACATGTGTGTTTTGTGCAGGCCTTGCGCAGTCCGGCAGTTGGGGTTGCTTTGACGAGTTCAACCGTATTGAACTGCCAGTCCTGTCCGTGGCCGCACAGCAGATTGCCATTGTGCTGGCCTGCAAAAAAGATCGCAAGTCGCAGTTCATCTTCACCGACGGCGATACAGTCAAGATGAACCCTGAGTTTGGATTGTTCCTGACAATGGTGAGTGGTGGCTGTTGTGGTGTTATGAGTTATTGGCAACACTCAGCCAGGGTTTGGGTTGTGTGAGTGTGTGTGGGTGGGGGGGAGGTTTGACTTCCTCCCTCGCATGCACACATGACATCGTATAATGATACTGTGCCCCTCTCGAGGCTTTGGAAAGAGGGAGGAGGATGGGGGTGGGGGTGGTACCTTATTTAATGCTCTCTTGATAAAGAAATTTATTGAAAATCCATGATAACATGGTCGTAAAGATGATAAGAAAAATTCAAAGTCAACACAGGCAATTGTAACGGGGTCGACTATCAAAGCGGAGCATGCTCTCTTGGCGGCTTTCTTGATAGGGATGCCAAGCTCTTGTACTACTGTATTCTTCAGAGGCAGAAGCCTGGGTAAGTACTACTTATATGGTGGCTTCAGCCCTTGTATTGCAGAAATATAAATCACGCAGTTTTGTAAAGACGTTGCAGTCCCAGACTGGCTCGTCACACTGACCCCGGGTGATTCTGGAATACGTTGATGTTGCGTCCCTTTGTGTGTCAGAATCCTGGCTATGCTGGTCGACAGGAGTTGCCAGAGAATCTGAAGATCAACTTCCGAACTGTGGCCATGATGGTACCAGACAGACAGGTTAGATGTGTGTGTGTGTGTGTGTGTGTGTGTGTGTGTGTGTGTGTATGTGTGTGTACGTACATGCGTGCATGCGTGCATGCATGCGCATACATGCATGCTTGCGTTCGTGCGTGGGTTTGTGTGATGCCTGCACATATCTAGCTATGCGAGGCATTTTAGCAGAGCGATTAGGTTCTTACCGGAAGAGAATATGTACACATACTTATCTACCCGAGGTCAAAACCAGTAATGGCATGTGCTATACAAGAGTACTAAACAAAATGAGCCTATCATAGTCCATTCTGAGATAGCACACTCATAGCTATGTATGAATCCATCGTTTTGTTCTGCTGTTCTTGCTGCAGATCATTATTCGTGTGAAACTTGCCAGCGCTGGTTTCCGTAAGAACGTGGTCTTGGCATGCAAGTTCTACACCCTGTACAAGCTATGCGAGGAGCAGCTCTCCAAACAGGTATGCATTCACACTGCTCCACCTGTGCAGGCTTCTGCTCCTGTAGCCTTCTGCTCCCACTGGTTGTAGTCGTATAATTTGCATTCTTCACGTATGGGCTGATTACTTCTGTATTCTGAAGCGTATTACTTGGTTTTCAAGGATACGTTCACACAATTACATGGGTGGAGTTGTGCACGGGACATAGTTATGATGGTGTGAGAGCTAAAGGAAGAGAGCAATCTTAATTTCCTTCTTCTTTGTTTATTAATTTTTGCTATACTGTTTGTGGTGTCCAGGTCCATTATGACTTTGGATTGCGCAACATCCTATCAGTGTTGCGGACTCTCGGTGCAGCAAAGCGGCAGAGTCCTGATGATCCGGAGGAGAAGATTGTCATGCGAGTGCTCTTTGACATGAACTTGTCCAAACTGGTATGTTTCGGTCACAGATATGCAAGAGGACGGAAACGTGTTTTTATTGGCATTAGTCACAGATATGCATGGGTCACAGATATGCATGCTCTGGTAGTCGTGTGCAAGTAGAGACTTTAAGGGGATACGTAAAGCCTACTGCAGGCAAATGATTCATAATGTCTAATGGGAATATCTGGTCTATGTGACAAGGTGCCTACTTCTACCACCATCTTGCTCCTGTTCTGTCAGTAGGCCTTTTGTATGGCAGATTGGTCATACCAAGTTGTACTCTGAATGTAAAACACCAATGTGTCTTTCGTACGAGAACTGTTTATCTATAGCATGCCAAATTGTTTGAATGAGCATACTTGAGGTTATGCTTTGAAGTATGTGCACTCAAGTATGTGGAACACAGAGTCGGAAATGTGTATATTCTCTTTCTGTGGCTAGGTGGACGAGGATGAACCGCTTTTCGAAAGTCTGATCAACGACATGTTCCCTGGCATCGCTCTAGAGAAGGGTTCTTACCCGGATCTGGAGATGGCCATTGCATCCAGAGTTGATGAAGCCAAGCTCATAAATCATCCCGCATGGAAGTTGAAGCTTATCCAGGTGGGTGGTGTGGGATTTTAGTTCAATTATAATTAGTATCTACTCAATACAGCATGCACAACTGGGTAGAGAGAAAATGATTGTCTGTTGAAACTTTTTAACCTTGGGCCTAAAAACTGAAAAAAGCTCAGTGAATTTTACAGATCCCATCATAGTAAGACTGAGTGACTTCTGCGTGCGCAGGAGCGCTTCCCTCCTTGCGGCGTACAGGCGTACAGGCATACACCTGTGCCGGGAGAGTATATCATGAGGCTACTGGAGGTGCATTCCTGACTTTTTTCACTGTGCTGTTGTGCAAGATGATTATGACATGGATGACGTTAATTTGCATGGAGTGTGAGTCAAATCACGCATCCCTTTGAAGTTTCGGGATTTAGCAAGTGACCTGTGTTTATAGATAACCTAAGGAAGGGTATGATGAACATTGCTAATGACAAAGAAGGTCTTAGTTTCGAGTCCTTGCAGGACCAGGAATTTTTAACTTTTCCGGTAGGTCACTCTTCCCTGACTGTTCACATTGAAGGAGGTGTATAGGTCATTGAATGTGCCTACGTTCACCATTGTGATAGTAAGGTTTTCTAAGCACTTACAGACTTCACGCAAAAATGAGTGTTTGATTTGAGGTACCACCGTATCAGTGTGATTGTGGTATCTAAGACATGTATGTTTCCTTCGTTGTGTATGTCCCACTTGGCTCAGCTGTTTGAAACCCAGCGTGTTCGTCACGGCATGATGGTGCTGGGGCCAAGCGGAGCGGGTAAAACCAAGTGCATCCACATTCTGATGAAGGCCATGGCGGACTGCGGTGAGCCGCATCGTGAAATGAGAATGAACCCCAAGGCAATCACGGCACCGCAGATGTTTGGAAAGCTGGATGTCGCCACCAACGACTGGACGGATGGGATCTTCTCTACGCTCTGGCGGCGATCACACAAGGCCAAGAAAGGTATGGATGCTGGAGAGCGCTGCCAAAACGCTGCAGTGTGTTTAGTTGTTCAAATTGGCTTTGTATTGATTGAAATGCGTACATCGGGGAGTGCAATTGAGTAAGAGTGTCATTTCTCAGCCCCCACCCCAGTTGGTGAACAGACTATCAAACAGGGTACCATTCTTATATCATGTGAGTCCACTAGTATAGACACATGAAGGCCATAATGTTTGCAGGGTGACTGATTATACCTGTACCAGCAGGTTCTATGCTATTTTATATTATTTACACTGCAAGAAATATGTGCACAACCACAAGGTGACGTCACCTTAAGTTGTGCTCATGCATTCTACATACATCTCATGCATTCTACATACATCTCAAGTGTTCTGTCTGTGTATTTGCGACCATGTCAGGAGAGCACATCTGGTTGGTATTGGATGGTCCAGTGGACACACTGTGGATTGAGAATCTGAACAGTGTGCTGGACGACAACAAGACGTTGACGCTGGCCAATGGTGATCGTATACCAATGGCTACCAATTGCAAGATTATCTTCGAGCCGCACAATATTGACAATGCCTCACCAGCCACTGTATCACGCAATGGAATGGTCTTCATGAGCTCTTCGGCACTAGACTGGAGACCAATTATGGAAGTGAGTATGCATAGACAAAGAGCAACAACAGAGGGGGGGGGGGCTTTCTTTGTCCCTCAAACTCTGGAATTAACAGTCTGAATACCATGCTTTCTGAGTCTTTACTAGTAGAAGCAGCGCTCTTCACCCAGAGAACAAGAGCACTGAACTTACCCCATAACAGTTAATTGGCAGATAGACATCGAACCTCGAGCTGTAGCTAAGCCCGTTCAAGATGCTCGTAGGCTAACGTAGTCTGGTACTGTTTTGCTATATGCATGCCACGTTCAGTGAAAACAACCCTTCAAGCTTTCATGAAAAGTTGCCGAAAATCCCGAAAAATGACGACATTGCATTTTAGTCACGAGTGCAGTGCAAAGAAACTTCGCACTCGTGACCAAGTATCTATTTGACATTGTTGCCAACTTGTTTTTTGAAAGCTGGAACGTATGTTTTCCCTGAACGTTGCCCATATTTCGATGTGTATATCTTTCATGTGTACCACCAGTAGGTCTCCGACCTCTACATTCATAGCATGACTCTTGAGAGGCTTGTATCTCAATGATTCTTCACATGCTCCTTTACCATGCTTAGGGGTGGCTGTTACAGCGGCACGTGTCTGAGAACTCCACCATACGGGAGCTGTTCAATGACACATTTGAACAATTGCTACAGTTCCACGTGCAGAAGCTGCAGCCCAAAATGGACATCCTGGAATGTAACTACATTTCACAGGTAAGAAGGCTGGGCACGCGATGATAGCTCCCACCTGTCCATTGCCATGTTGAACTTGATATGCATGGTAGCAGTTGGTTTATCTATTCTTCCCCATGCTGTATAAGCAAGCTGTTTCCCTGTTGGTATTAATCACTGTTCATGCCGCGTTGTACCAGCCTGTTCATATGTGCACACTGTCCTCTGGGTCTTCGGGCTATATTATTGTTATTTCCAAGACTTGCATTGTGCGGTATGACCATTTGCAGCTTTGCCTCAAGAATTCCTTCCAGCTAGAGGATGTTTACGAAACAATTGTTAGTTAGGATGTTTGATTTCTTTTCGTAATGTGCACTGCCTGCTCACCTACCTTTGGTGGAGAGCTGTCAACACCAATACTGGTATACATGTATGTCCTGGCATCCATGTCAGTCAAGTACTGCTGCTATGTTCTTCTGACAGGCATTGGATCTTCTCCAGGGCTTGTTACCGAGCCCGATTGCGCAAGGCAAAGATCAACAAGTCACCATCCTGAAGCCCATTCACATCGAACGTTTGTTCATCTTTGCATTGATGTGGAGCGTCGGTGCCCTCCTTGAGCTGGAGGACAGGGCCAAGATGGAACAATGGATGAAGGAAACAACCAAGCTAGCTTTGCCGCAAACAGACCCTGAGAAAGGAGACACGATATTTGAATTCGTGGTGGATGAAAATGGTATGCAGTCAGATGTGTGTGTTACTCTGTAGATAGTGCCATGCTGGTAATGCTCTCAATGTTCTAGCTCAAGTTATACCAACTTTTACATAAGTACTGATCTACCTGCTGGGTGCACAATGTCGGGGAACTGTGCTACTGCAGCAGATGTTTGTTCATATCCTGCATTATTGCATTCCCAACTGCATTATTGACTGACTTTTCACGCTAACATTTACATTTGTTTGCTCTTACACTCGCTTTTCTGTATGGTTTCCTGACGGAACGTATGTGTGTGTGTGTGTATATGTGCATACGTGTTTGTGTGAGTGTGTGCACATGCTTGTATGTGTGCGCCTGTGTGTATGTGTGCGCCCGTGTGTATGTGTGCGCCTGTGTGTATGTGTGTGTGTGCGCGCCTGTATGTGTGTATGTGTGCGCCTGTGTGTGTGTGTATTGCACGTTATTGACTATATATCACTGTGTCACTTTATGTGCGCAGGTGATTGGGTGCATTGGTCTGAGCGAGTACCCGACTACCACTACCCGGTGGACAGCATACCAGAGTTCTCATCCATACTGGTACCCAATGTGGACAACGTCAGAGCAGACTTCCTCATCAACACTCTGGCCAAGCAGGGAAAGGTACACAGCTGATGGCATGTCCGTTACCACAGCTAGTCAATAACGTCTCTCTCGTGTGACCTTGTTCATGACATTGCTATTAGAGATGGTGCTGTTGCTTGGAGTGGACAATTCACTGTATGTTTCTTGCCATTCTCTGTCACTTTGCAGGGTGTGCTGCTGATTGGAGAGCAGGGAACAGCCAAAACCGTCATTGTGAAGGGCTACTTGGCAAAGTACAATCCTGATGATCACTTGAACAAAACATTGAGTTTTTCGTCGGCATCCACACCAAACCTCTTCCAGGTCAGCCCTGTCTTAGAAAGATGTGTCATGGCCTTAGCACTCCTATTGTGCACATGCCTTCAAAAAGTTCTCGTTGGGTTTGAAATGTTTTACCAATAGTCCATGACCAAGAGTATTCAGCTAATTTCTCACTGCTATGGGCCATTTGCGCCAAATGCCACCTACATTTCATTATGCAGCTTCTTTTGCACAGAGTATCAAAAATCAAGAAAGCCCTGTGGCTTGAAAACAAACCATTGGGCAGGATTGAAGTAATTCGTGCGCACAAGATTTAGGGATGATTATGCTGAGACTCGAAGGAAATCAAGCATACAAATTATGCTCGTTCGATAGTTTGTGGGTTTTGAGTGCGTGATGCAGGCAAGTTATGTTCTGAAGGCAGCACGTCATGCACTGGACCCTGCTCACATTTGCATACTCTCAGGTTTAGACTCTTTCTTTTACTGCCTCTCTTACCATGACTAATTTGTTGCAGCGATCAATTGAGAGTTTTGTTGACAAGCGTATTGGAACAACGTACGGTCCTCCAGCAGGCAAGAAAATGACAGTGTTCGTGGATGATGTTAACATGCCTATCATCAACGAGTGGGGTGATCAGGTGGGTAGTTCAGCAATCCTGACATGCATTCCATTGTGCAGCATTTACACCGGAACTTGGATGGAGAGCTCATTGCATTCTGTGACCACTCTTCTCATGTGGCCCAACGAGTTTGCCAATCATTTCAGCTTGAGGTCTCTTATCAAGCTATTTGAAATTTCCAACTTATTGGTCACATCGCCAACATAGTACATTTATAAATAGTCTCCTCCGACATACTGAACTAAATATGGATCTGTGCCTGAAGTGGTACTGGGCATAATGGTTATAGAGCTGTTCACTGAATCCAGTTGACATTGTCTTTGCTATCTATGCTACAGGAATCCCAATTATGGCAGATAGCTTGTTTCCTGTGGGCTTGGTGTGAGTATGCTTTATCTGCTTATTTTGTGTTCAGGTTACGAATGAAATAGTACGTCAGCTAATGGAAATGCGTGGATTCTACAGCCTGGACAAGCCGGGAGACTTTATCAACATCGTCGACATCCAGTTCATTTGCGCAATGAACCACCCGGGCGGTGGTAGGAATGATATTCCCAGCCGACTGAAGCGACAACACTCCATCTTCAACTGCACATTGCCATCGAATGCGTCTATTGACAAGGTCTTTGGTAAGTGTGTGATCATGTTCAGGGTGACTTGTCTTGCAGTTTTGGTTGTGGCCTACATAATCTTTAGTTTTCTGGTGTGATACGTTGTGTGCATCCTCCGGTGGATGGGTATGATATGTAGGTGCAGGAATGTGGCTGCTCAAACCTCTGCTTTATTCACCTCCCTCTCTCTTCTGATGTGTGCATGGTTTTTCTGATTCTTTCTAATGTGTGCTGTGTGTGCTTCCCCAGGCTGCATTGCTGCTGGCTACTTCATAAAGCAACGTGGCTTCACTGAGGCTATTCAGACACTGGCAACGCAGCTGGTCCGCTGCACACGTATTGTTTGGCAGAAAACTAAGGTAAGTACAATAGTAGAGATGCCAAAAACTCTTTGTGCTCATGTTGTATTCAGATTTCATTCATGCACAAGTAGTCTTTCGAGGACTGCTTTTGTTCAGGGCTCTTCAGGAGAATTCCATAGAGCCCACCCATCATGTGATCATGAAGATTAGATCTAACGGCTTGTGTGTTTGACAGTGTGGGCACATGTAGCTGCTGCATACATGTACATAGATAGTATCTATGTACATGTATGTCAGTCTCGCTATGTTTGCGATCCCTATTATGGATGTGTTAGGTTCACAAGTTCATGTATGCACGCACTCTCACACCAACGACCTCCAACGACCTTTCTCACACATATGCATGTACACACGCACTCGTACACACGGCATGCACCCTTTCTCGCACTCCCGTATTATTCATTGGGCCTGGGTAGCTACATTCGCGCTCTTTTACATCCATTGCCATAGCTACCCAGGACCTTCATAGCCTTGTGTTTTGCTCGCCTTTTCGCTCTCACTCTACCGACTGACGATCTTGGCTCGAACTCGTTTCGCTCCGTCTGCTGTCCCATCGTCCGTTGTGTTTGGAGAAGTGGGTCTAAGATATACTTAACAGATGTAATGCAATGATGTAAAACAATGATGTAATGCAGTGATGTAATGCAGTGATGTGTTACAATCCAGTTATGTGATGTGATGATGACATTATGATGACATTGCTTGGTAATGTTTTGGACTTCTGCATTTCCAGATCAAGATGTTGCCAACGCCTGCCAAGTTCCACTACATCTTCAACCTGAGAGATTTGTCACGTGTCTGGGAAGGAATCCTTCATGGCGTTGCTGAAGTGGTCAACAAACCGCGTGTTCTTGTGTCGCTATGGAAACATGAGTGCTGTCGTGTGATTGCCGATCGGTTCACAACTAGCCAGGACAAGGCCTGGTTCAACCAGTGTATACCTGGCGTCGTGGCAGAGGACATTGGCACGGACGTGTCTTCTCTCATCCCAGATGAACCCTACTTTGTTGATTTCTTGCGGTACGTACTGCCCTTTCGTTACGGCTCAGAGTCTACTGACGTGATTCCTGAACTGTGAAGTTGTGTTCGCCCATCATCATTTCCATTGTATTCATGAACTGTAGCAGTTACGCACTTATTCCCTGGTTCCTGCAGCATTAAATACACACATAGCCCTTTGTGTTACATTCACGTCAGAAATGATACAAGATTTTATGTGTCATGGTCAGTGACGACTAAGCATCAACATGCATGTGTACCCTAGGCATCTTCAATAACAGTTTCATGCTGATGTTGATGTTGATGTGTGCCTGGTACTTTACAGTGAAGCACCAGAGGCGACTGGCGATGAACCAGACGATGCCGACATGGATGCACCCAAGATCTATGAAGAGGTAAGCGAAAGTATTGCTGGTCTCACACAACACTGCCTGTAGAAATCAAAGTAACTGTTGTTGCTACATTCAAGTATACACACTCACCATGCAAAGGAAGGAGAAGAAAGCAGCTCTGGTGCCCCCTCCTCTTCCCCTCCCCTCTTTACTTTAGGGAATGCACAAATGCACGGTACAATAACGAGCATCCTGAAGAAATCTTTTCTGACATAACACCTCATTTTCATTCAACAGTGATTTCAATACCCTGTTTTTGCAATGAAATAAGTTAAAGGCTAGTTACATTTACTCTTATTCTTGCTTTTTGTTGTAGATTCCATCGTTTCCGGACCTGGAGGAAAAGCTGCACGCGTTCCTGACGCAGTACAATGAGACCGTGCGTGGCTCTGGCATGGATATGGTCTTCTTCACGGATGCAATGACCAACCTGATCAAGGTGCGTGTGTGTGTGCTTGTTTGTTTGTGTCTTGTGTACAGGATTCTCCCCCCCCCCACCACCACCCTGAAAGCTTTTAGGAAGCCCCTTCATCCCCCAAACGTTCTCCTCACTGCAAGTGATAATTCCCTTCACATTCAACCAATTGTTCTGGCCTAGCGACCATCATCAGGGTGAAAATGGGAACGTTTTCTACTTCTATTTCAATCCTGATGGCGGGTCAAGATCGTAATTTGGTTGAATGTATGGTCAGTTATTATTCGCAGGGAACAGAACGTTTGTGAACAGAAGAAGTTCAACATTTATAAGTGGCTGCATTGGAATTTACTAGCAGTTCAGAATATTTTTAAATCCCATCCCTTTCCAATCCACTGCGTGACTGATAGTCCAGTTCTTCTGCACTTGATATGTTTGCTCTGTTGCAGATCTCACGAATAATTCGCACGGACAGTGGGCATGCACTGCTGGTCGGTGTTGGTGGATCCGGAAAACAGAGTCTGACACGACTGGCATCCTTCATCGCTGGATACAATATATTCCAGATCACACTGACAAGGTATACATCCCTGCACTATATTTTAGCAACTACAGTCGTGGCACTCTCGTTTACACTCCTCTTGTGGTTCGTGGTGGTACCTTTCAGCCTCGCTATACTGGCTCAGCAGCTTCATCACCTCTCTCTCTCTCTCTCTCTCTCTCTCTCTCTCTCTCTCTCTCTCTCTCTCTCTCTCTCTCTCTCTCTCTCTCTCTCTCTCTCTCTCTCTCCTCTCTCATTTCTCTCGCTCATTGTGATGTGGCATCTCTTCAAAACCAGAGCTTTTCCTGCTTCTTCATTCACAGAGCATACAACGCAAGCAATCTACAGGATGATCTGAAAGTCTTGTACAAGACAGCTGGACTGGAAGGCAAAGGCATCACTTTCATCTTCACCGATCAAGAGATCAAAGAAGAAGGCTTCTTGGAGTATCTGAACCAAGTCTTGTCATCTGGTGAGGTATGTATCCCAGGGCCAGTACCAATCATGACTAGTTGTTGCCACTGGAATGGGGTTTCAATTACGTATGCCTGGGAGATGTCACTTGAAAGAATACAGGTACAAGAAGCTGTCATACATTTTGGAACAGCTTCAGGAATGGTGCTTGACACATTAGACACAGAGCTACCTTAGCACGTTTCTCGATGGTTATGGATAATGCAGCTTATTACCCCATTCAAGTTGATCTCAGTTACTTACAGTGACATTGTAGTAATGATTCTGGTCACTCTTGACACCTATTATACACAGTGTTTCTGCACTGTCTGGAGGACACTGTGTTTATGCAATGCCTTGTTGCTAGGTTGGTGGTCTGTTTGCCCGTGAAGAGATTGATGAAATCAGCACCGAGCTGATTCCGGTCATGAAGAAAGAGTTTCCCCGCCGCCCACCTACACCTGAGAATCTACTGGCCTACTTTTACTCACGAGTGCGCAAGAACCTTCATGTTGCCCTGTGCTTCTCGCCGGTGAGTAGCTGTAATGGTGGGTAGTGCATTCATTTTGATTAGCTGCATCGCAGACTGTACTAGTGTGCATGAGGCTTCAGTAGTGATCACTGGGCTCATGTGTATGTTGTGAGCAGGTTGGTGATTGTAGTCGAACGTTCCAAGATGCCAGTCCATGATGAACTAAGTCGGTGATTAGATTTCACTTATCTTCGCTTGTTTACTTCCTAGTATAGCTTCAATAGTTTTACACTCACTGGCATTCAATGATCTGTTCCCTCCTCGTTGCAAACACTGTAGGTTGGAGAGAAGTTCCGCAATCGTGCACTCAAGTTCCCTGCTCTCATCTCTGGCTGTACAATGGATTGGTTCTCACGCTGGCCGAAGGACGCACTCATTGCCGTTGCCCAGCATTTCTTGGCGAGTTTTGAGGTGGAATGCACGGCCGAGGTGAAGCAGCAGGTGGTACAGACAATGGGTATCTTCCAGGACGGTGTGGCTGAGGCCTGTGCTGACTATTTCCACAGGTACCTATGTTTGATTTGTGAAACATAGTTATTATCTCATCTGATGAGTGTTTTTGAACATGAAACTAGGAGTAACAAGAAAGCTTTTTGGTCTCTGTTGTTGTGCCTTGTGTAGTAATAATATTATTTCTATTTTTATTGTTATTTTTCTTAAGGTTTGGAGACTCCACTGTAGCCAATACTGTATAAGCAGAAAATTTCGTCGGTCAATATTTTCGTCCAACTCCAAAGAAAGGGAGTTCGTCCGGTTGTAAATTTCGTCCATGGATCATAAGAGTGTGTTGAAAAGCTGGACAAATTAATATTAGTCCAGCATTTAATTTAGTCCAACAGGTCGTTGGACGAAAAAGACGAAATTAAATTCCAGACGAATATTTCTGCTTGTACAGTACTTGAATCCATACATCCCGTACACACACCTTGTACACACTCTCTCTAACGGTCTCTAGGCTACACTGCAATTGATATACATTAGCTCAAATATTCGGGCAAGGCCCGAAAATTTGAGCTAATGTATATCAATTGCAGTGTAGCCTAGAGACCGTTAGAGAGAGTGTGTACAAGGTGTTTATTGTTATTGTGATAACAAATATCCAGTGGAACAAAAAATGTATATCTCAACTCATAGGTTCATGCTCAAAAGCAAGCATCAGAATACCAGTATTCTAAGACTCTCGGCTTTCAATAGACATGCAAAGAAAGCGCTTCACATGCTCGCATGCAGATTGTAATTCCTTCTCTGCTATGCACTACATGTAGGTACCGTCGAACTGCGCATGTAACTCCCAAATCCTATCTCTCATTCATCAATGGCTACAAGACTGTTTACGCCCAACAGAAGAAAGAAATTGGAGGACTGGCCGACCGAATGAACAAAGGCCTGGAAAAGCTGATTGAAGCCAGTAAGAGTGTCGAGCAGCTGTCTGTTGAGTTGGAAGTGAAGGAGAAGGAGCTAGCCGAGGCTTCCATTACTGCAGACCAGGTGAGACTTCAAGTGACACATTATGCTGCATACTATTGTCTACACTATTGTCTATACTATTGTCTATGTGTCTACTGCTGAAGTGTAGTTTCTCATCTTGTTCTACAAAGAGATTATGTTTTACAGGGGTGCTACATGCGCTCACCAATTATTGCAGTATGCCTTCTTTGTTGTCACCTTGTGGAATGTGGTCTCTGCTAAACTGTGTTTACAATGAGCTTTGTGATAATCTGGTGTGTTCCTGTGCAGGTTTTGAAGGAGGTCACTAAGAAAGCTCAAGCGGCGGAAAAGATCAAGTCGGAGGTGCAGACGGTGAAGGACAAAGCACAGAGGATTGTTGATGCCATATCAGTAAGTGTTACTAGGTCTGGGCTATCCCGCCAAGTCTGAGCTTCCACCTGGACTCCTCCTTGGTTTCCCTTTTCTCTCTAGCTCTTCTCTTGTACCTTCTTGCTATTAGTCACTTAATGTGGGGCTTTGAATAAAAAAAGACTCATGACCAAGTCGGAGCTTTGATCCCATGATCTTCTATTCGTGCATGTGAATTGTGAGACCCGAATTCTAGCAATCCTGGCTGACGGTGATGCTTGTGTTGAATATCTACTGCTGCACAGACTGACAAGGCAATAGCAGAGGAGAAACTTAGCGCTGCACAACCGGCGCTGGATGAAGCTGAACGTGCTCTTCAGGTGAGATCCATTGCTCCATTCGAATTCCAATTCTTTGCCTGTATATGAAGAGCATAGACCTTTGTGTATTGGAAAGTAGTTCTTAGCCATGCAATCTAGTTAGGCCCGACACTATGATCTGGCATCACATCACAGGAAGTTAGTTCTGCATCATTGCGTTCTGACGAAATGTAATCCGAGCTCCAGAAAATTGCCTGAACTGCTGCATGCACCTCTTTAGAACCAGGCAAACATCCGAGCAATATCGGAGTGCTAGTACATCACATCAATGAGGCAAGCTGCTGTATTCTAGTGTTCTGTGCAGAAATTAACCAATTGGCAAAGAGCTTTCATACTTTCATCTCTTTCCCGTATCTGTCCCTTTTCTCCTCCCCCCCCCCTTAGTATGTCACAGGCCACAGGCAAATTGTGTAATATAAATAAGTAATTTGATGTGTGCATTCATGACACACTACACTACAACAGTGCTGGTAGTCTATACCGTGCTATTTTCCTCGTGTATGTTCCATGCTGTGTTGTTTGCCATGTCTACCTGCTACAGACTATTCACCCCAGTCACATCGCCACAGTCAGGCGTCTTGGTCGACCGCCTCACCTGATCATGCGCATCATGGACTGTGTACTTCTGCTGTTCAGTAAGAAGGTCAATGCATGGGAACTGGACCCGAATCGTCCCGAGTGCAACAAGCCATCATGGGATAAGTCACTTGTGGTGAGTGCTACGCAAGTTCCGGGAGGGTATAATAATTGCTGTTGTGTGATCGCTTCTAACACTATAGACTGGTGAACGCAGTGTGTAGATGTTCTTTTTTGTGTACACCTGATCGCCATAAGGGGTCGCTTCCTTTTCCTGCTTAGAGTTGCCAATTTTAAGCAGTTTGGTATGCTCAACTCAATGCTCTTTCATTTGGCTTTCTGGCCCTTGCTTTGCCACAGCTCATGGCCCAGGCAAACTTCCTGTCCAGCCTGCAAACCTTCAACAAGGACTTGATCAATGAAGAAGTGGCAGAGCTGATGGCCCCTTACCTTGGTATGGAGGACTACAACTCGACAAAAGCGCAGCAAGTGTGCGGCGATGTGGCAGGCCTATGCTCGTGGACCCGCTCCATGGTTGTGTTCTTCAGTGTAAACAAGGAAGTACTTCCTCTCAAGGTACAGTTTAACCCACCCAGTGCTACTTGCTCTGATTTAAGTATTGACATTATCTGGGTCCAATGAGTCCTACCCAGTACTATGTCCACTGATAAGATGAACACTTGTCATGTATGGGCATTGTCCGGAGCAGGGGTTTGCCGGTCCATGATCACTTGGGTTTGAAAAAACAAGTGCACCGTATACCTGGTAGATCTACACAGTTCTGTTTCCCATTGCTGTATATCTTATGAAAGTAGAACGCTGCGTTTGATGTCGCCTATGACCTTGCTAACGGTCTGAACGTCGCTCATAGAACTGATCAAATAACGCCTTGTCAATTTCACAAAGGCCAACGTCTCTCCAGTTATGAATGTGTGTAGCTCTGTTTCTCTTGTCTTCGCCGCCTGACTTATGTGTTTGCACCTCTGTTGGTGTTGAATGTTCAGGCTAACCTTGCTGAACAGCAGGGAAGACTCGATGAAGCCACAGCCGAGCTAGAAGCAGCACAGGCAACGCTGGATGAGAAAGAGAAAGAGCTGGCTGAAGTGAAGGCTGCTTACGAGAACTCCGTTCGAACCAAGCAGGTCAGCACGCACACACCTTAGCAAGTACATGTACAAGTCACCGATACCAGAAATCCGTAGCCATAGCAACGTACTGCAGGGTTCTAGCCAGGTCAATATAGTAGGGGGCGGGCATGGGAACAAGTTACCCCATGACCCATTTTTTCCATTGTCCAAAATTGTCTTGCCATGCAAAATGTAACATACAGAGTGAACCCCGGCTTCACCCCTCACAAATGTGCCTTTATGAACCCTCTAGTAGTGTCTATCGACTGTATTTTCGTTGAATGGCGTGAAAAAACACAAAAATCGGAAAATGAGTAGGGGGCGGCAAATTTTCACAGGGGGGGGGGGGGGGCGCACAAACGGAGTAGGGGGCGCTGCGCCCCCCTACCCCCCTTTGGCTAGAACCCTGGTACTGGGACTGGCACCTCACCTTGTGCATGTGGCTTGAGACGCTGTGTTGACTATACTCAACATAAGTCTGTAATGGGGCATATATGGTATACTAGTGTCTAAATTTATGGTTGTGGTAATGAGTTCCCTATCTCAATGCGATGCAACGAGTGTATCACATGTTTTAGGGTGTGCGAGTCAATAGGTATCATAAAAGAACATATTGAAGACATTCATTCATTTATATTGAAGACAAAATGACAAATGGAGAATTCTGTGACATTCTTCATAGGGTCTGATTGAGGATGCGGAAACCTGTCGTCGCAAGATGAAGACAGCCACGGCGTTGATCGACGGCCTGAGTGGTGAGCGAGATCGCTGGACAGAGCAGAGTAAGGAGTTTGAGGCACAGGTTGGTCGGCTTGTGGGCGATGTACTGCTGGGAACGGCGTTCTTGTCCTATGCCGGGCCGTTCAATCAGGACTTCCGCTCCCTGCTGCTGAAGAGCTGGACGAAGGAGGTGCGCACGAGAAACATACCGGTTTCACACAACCTGAATTTGGTTACCATGTTGACCGACTCCGCTACCGTAAGTGATTTCTGCATCTCTCATCCTGATGATCTGATACCGTCATTTGGAGCTCATTCTGATCTGATATCATGATTTGAGGTTATGACCTGGAGTTTGTACTGAAAAAGAGAATATTCACACTCGTGAATAGTCATGTACAATGTATACTGTAAAATATTAATCACTCGGATTCAATTATTGTCTGCCGTAACGTTACTATGGCTGTGACTACTCATGGACTCATTATGAATGCTTTCATTAATTCCGTTCTGTATTTGCAATCTGTACTGTGTGTATCTTGATAGATCAGTGAGTGGAACGTTCAAGGTCTGCCCAACGATGAGCTGTCATTGCAGAATGGAATCATTGTCACCACGGCAACTCGGTTCCCCCTGCTCATCGACCCGCAGAACCAGGGCAAGCGGTGGGTCAAGAACCGGGAGACGAAAGACATGTGTGTAAGTTTTCTTTTCCGGCAGGTAGAGTGGGTTTGTTCTGGCTCTATTCGCAACACTCTTTCATCATTACCTTCTATGGTGTGCTGTTGGCGAACTCCACCTTGTACATCTATCCGTTCTACTCATTGTGCTTCTGAGCTTCCAGAAGCCATTATTTTGGCACACACTCAACACTGAGCTTCAGAAATGGAGTGTACGTGTAAGGATATTGCTTGAAAATCGCCTAGGGATGTGTAGCAGCAGGTCAGACTTAACTGGCTCCTTGTTTCTCATCCTTCTTTATCACGTTTCCCATTGCTTTCGAAGATCACCACACTCAATGACAAGTTCTTCCGCCAGAAGCTGGAGGACAGTCTGTCGCTCGGCCGGCCCATGCTTATCGAAGATGTTGCCGAGGAGCTGGACCCAGCCCTGGACAATGTGCTGGAGAAGAACTTTATCAAGTCTGGCAGCACATTCAAGGTACGCCAAGTTCCACTCAGGGTCCTCTGCCGACTACTTTCCATGTGATGATTTCAGTATTTTACAGGGTAGAGTGAAACCATCATTACTTAGACATTTGAACTGTGTGTTTCTGGCGGAGTATTGCACCAGTGCACATTGCCTTCGTCATGCGTTTGTTTTCAGGTCAAAGTTGGAGACAAGGAGGTAGACGTGATGAAAGGCTTCCGTCTGTACATCACCACCAAGCTGCCAAACCCGTCCTACACACCAGAGGTAAGTTAGATTGCATCCCACGGTGATTGGTTCTCTCTAGTCCAGATTTCACTGCTAATGTTCTAGTTTTAGATGTGAACAATGAAACAATTACTATTCTCGAATGTTCACCGACACTAGAGAGCGAGCACAAGGATAACACTTTGTAGAATGTAGATTATCAATTAGTGACTTCACTCTGAGCAGAATATGTACAGACATGTATATCGCATGTACGTACAAGGTGAATTCTATTCAGGGCAATTATACCATGCAGACTGTTGAATTTTACAAGTGCACCTCACCCCCATACTTGATAATGTAATGGTACGAACAGTCCTAGCTTATTCTGCTGTTGTTTTGTACATCATCATTCTGATGACTAGGTCAGTGCCCGTACAGCCATCATTGACTTCACGGTGACAATGAAAGGCCTGGAGGATCAGCTCCTTGGACGCGTCATCCTAGCTGAGAAGAACGTGAGCAATCTCCCCTTTCTGCCATTGACTAAATTCTTGTATCCTTAGCCTGGTTTGAGGGAGTCTGAATTTTGTTATTGTGTGTGGCGCCGAGTGAATTCATGGGATGGTGCCTGAATCGAGCCTGGAAGAAATGCTGCTTAAAAAGCTGCGATAGCCATGTGTGTTGTTATTTTCATGTTATTTATTTTAAGTCTATTGCATTTGTCACGGTATGTGTTTGTAGGAATTGGAGTCTGAACGCACTGAGCTAATGGAAGATGTAGCTCAGAACAAGCGCAGGATGAAAGAGCTTGAAGACAACCTACTCCATCGCTTGACAAGCACCCAGGTTTGTGCGGCGGGAATGTGCTGCGTGCATGGGTATATGTGTATGTGTGTTTGGGTGGGTGGATCATACCTCATTGGCTGGCCTTCTGTGCCTTATGAGTAGGAGAGGGGAGGGGGAGGGTGACCTGAGATTAAAGTAGTACACATACATATACATAACGAGTGCTCTCACTCAATTTGATGACTCCAATGGTCATGGGGCAAGCAGCTACTGTATTAGTAATGATCATGTCGCTTCATTTTGTCATTGCTCCTATTACATAGGGCTCGCTTGTAGATGACGAGTCTCTGATTGAAGTTCTGAGCACAACCAAGGCTACCTCCCAGGACGTCAGCCGCAAGCTCACAGTGGCGGCGGAGACCGAACTGAAGATCAACACAGCAAGAGAGGAGTTTAGACCTGGTAGGGAATATGTGTCCAAAACAAGTGATCTACAGCGCCGGCATTGCCGGCACTTACAAGCCCACTCATTGTTAGACAACTTTTGCTTATTACTTATAATTGTATGAGGCTGCAAATATGCTAAATACAGAATCATGTTATAAGCCAGACAATCAAACAACAACCAAAGTTACACAAAACACCATACACTGCACAGTTATGTATGGGCGGTGTGCAGTACTCAATGTACACTGCACAGTTATGTACGGGCGGTGTGCAGTACGCAATGTACATTGCACAGTACAAAATTCACAGATTTTGTATTTTTTGTATTTTATGATATTTTAAGGATTTCCCAAAGGCTTTGGGCCTGTCGAGGGGATCTCCTGCAAGAAGAATGAAATGACAACTTTATGTAGAGGGAGCAGTTAATCGAGGATAGGCTAAGGAAATAGATCGAGGCGTACAACATCTGGTAATTAAGGAGTTGGGATACCGTCAGTGTAATGAATATATCGGCGAAAATGCTGATAGAGAGAATGCTTGAATTCGGGGAGGCTGGTTATAGAGGTAAGAGAAGGCGGTAGGCAATTCCATAGCATTGCAGCTTTGTTGGAAAAGAGGGAAGAAAAACGCACACCGTGATAATTGATGTTTTAAAAGTTTGTTTGGTCTTCTTGGACTTGAAGACAGTGAAAGGTGAACATGTTGGAGGTGTTCTGGAGATATATGTATAAGTTTAAATAGAGTAACAAGACCTGATACTTGTCTGCGAAAGTGCAAGTACTCTAAGTCACAACGGGCATTTAACTGGGATTTCGATTTGCGCATTTTGGATAATTGGAGCATTCCGCTAACCGGATTTCAGCTTATCAGGCTTCAGATATCCAGGATTAAGTTATCTAGGGTTCAGTTGTCTATGGTATGACTTGATGTCTATGGTTGTTCGATGATCGCTTTTAAAATTGAACATAAGATGCTGGTATGATTACGAACATACTACTATAATCCTCTCGTCTGTCTGCTGCCATTCTTCTTTGTTTGTTTAGTTGCAACACGTGGCAGTATCCTGTATTTCCTGATCACTGACATGTCACTGGTCAACTGTATGTATCAGACCTCACTGGCACAGTTCCTGGAACTGTTTGATCTCTCCATGAAACGGTGAGTGTTGAGCTGGGAGTGACTCTCGATGGCTTGTCCACAGGCTAATTGCTCGATGAGCTTCCCATGCACTCTTGATGACAAGTCAGCAAGAAAAACGTGAGCTCCCATTTTCGGTGTGACCAAAGCAACCATCTTGACGAATGTCCCGGCTATTGCTTCCTTTCAATAACAATGAATGAGGCCAATCTTGTATCTTGTCCTTCCTCATGTCAATCTATCTGTACACTGTGTATGCAGGTCTGGCAAGTCACCCATCACGGCAAAGCGAATCACTAACATCATCGACTACCTGACATTTGCCGTGTTCAAGTGGTCCGTGAGGGGTCTCTACGAGACAGACAAGTTCCTGTTCACGTTGCTCTTGGCACTGAAGATTGACCTGGTCAATGGCAAAGTCAAACACAAGGAGTTCCTGACATTCATCAAAGGTAACGTCTACATCTGGGTATTGTCTCAGTTGATACGTTTTAGCAGATTTATGAATGCAATCCCAAAGTGCGACATTACTTGTTTTTCCTTTTCCACTTTTCCATGTATTGACTCTGTAGTTTGTACAAATAGTTGTGTCAACATGGTGGTGTACTCCAAAGTAGTTATTGTCTTTTTGATTTCAGTTTAAAATAATGTAGTTGCTTCTCCTTGCACGGTATATTATTGTTTCCTTGCAGGATTGTCTCTCTGCTTTCATTTGGCATAAGCGAAGCTGTGATTCTGGTATTTTGCGTCACTACAAATATAGTGAAATGCTTTACAAAGAAGGACCAGATACATTGTACATTGTTTTGTCTAGGGGCATTTCACCTGTCGCATATGTCTGCCATAATCTATGGCCACAACAGTCAACGTCACATAAGTGTTAATTTCTTGTGTTTAGGTGGTGCTGCGCTTGACTACAATGCTGTTGAGCCCAAGCCGTTCAAGTGGATAACCGATATGGTGTGGCTTAACCTGGTTGAGTTGAGTAAGCTGTCGCAATTTCAAGATGTTCTGGCTCAGGTAAGGGGAAGGAGCAGCCATCCACTTCGTATCTAAATGAGAAAAAAATATTGTGCGAAAGCGCTGTGCATTGAGAACACTGATCAAAGGCTGACAGAGCCAGCCCTTGCTCTCTTTTACAGGTCTATGTTTATTGCTGTGTCTGAGATCGAGTTCCACTATCAGGTTTTACTGATACAGTTGTCCCATGACTACAAGGAAGATGTGATTTCTTCTTCTCCTGTGTGCGTAGGTCACAAGGAACGAGAAGGCATGGAAGACATGGTTTGACACTGATGCACCGGAGGAGACTCAGATTCCCGATGGCTACGAGCTCTCACTGGACACATTCCGAAGACTGCTGCTCATCAGGTATGCTTGTATGCCCAACACACCACTGACAGTCTGCTCACATTGTTCTTATGGATGTAAACCATTACAGCCGTATTCTGTGGTGATCCGTTTAGACAGTTTGACTGTTTTCTTCTTCAGCTTGATGATTCCATTATTCTGAATGATGCTTTATCAGTTACAGGTCGGATTGGCTCATGGAGAGCCTTCTAGTATCATAAGCCACACACTCCCATGGGAATGTTTGCATAGATTTTCGTGTTTCTACTTCTGTGCAGGTGTTGGTGTCCAGATAGAACTCTGCCACAGGCATTCAAGTACATCAGCCAATCACTCGGGCCAGCGTATGCCGAGGGTGTCATTCTGGATTTACAGGAGATGGTCGAAGAGAGCACGGTTCGAACACCCATGGTGTGTCTGCTGTCCCTGGGATCAGATCCAACTAATGCCATTGAAGCACTTGCTAAGAAGGAAGAAATCGGTAAGTAGACGTTCATAGTTTCCATGCATTTAGCACTTCTATCGTGTGTACCAGAGCTTCTATTCACTAGTTGAGGGAATGTAAAGGGAACTTTTCATAGGACATTTGTGAATCATATAAGGTCTGAATATGAGCATGTAATCTATGTGCAGGAAAACTCTGCAGACGCACGTACCATTCTAATGATCAGTCAGGATCGTAAGATCAAATCCGGTGAGATACATCTCATGATTGTAGTAGGGTGAAACTTGGAGTTTCAACAGAAAATTTCTCCTCTTCTTTGGAGTGTGAGACTCGTCCTTTTGGTTTGTACTTTCTGAGTTTTCTCGTTCTTCTGCTTTACCAGAATGCCGCACAGTGTCCATGGGCCAGGGCCAGGAGGTCCATGCTAGACGGCTACTCAACCAATTCATGGCTGGTGTAAGTGCAGAGTCTGGCCATGTGTTTTCCTCCACAACATACAAGTATTCAATTTGGTTTTCCTTGCCATCCAATAAGTGACATCAGGCGAAATATGTCCCTCTCCATTTTTTGGGGTAGTGGTTTATGGTGATAAGTTGTGCAAGATTGCATTGATGTTCATTTGTAGGGTGGCTGGGCTATGCTTCAAAACTGCCATCTTGGCCTGGAGTTTCTTGATGAGCTTCTCGACATGGTCATAACCACTCCCAACATTGATCCACAGTTCAGGCTTTGGATTACAACGGAGGTAAGTCACCAAGTATATTTGTGCACGACATGTTTTATGCACTGACCAAGACCAGAATTGTGTATGGAAGTAAATGTCATACTGGATAGAGGTGGGCAAAGGTCTGCCCTGCTTTTTGTCTGGTGTAAATTTCCGCACCGAGATAACCTTGGACACCTGGAATGGTGTACAAAAGTATACAAAATGGCTACCCATTGTACTCCCATTTCACCCGCTATATCTGAACTCCTTTGGTGCAGTATAGATTTTTGCTGTAAGACTTCTGTTTCTTCAATTTTCAAGTGGGTTTCCGTAGTATCACTGGTTTTATGATATCAAATCTTTCTTGCACTATGCACCATCTTTTGCAGTATCATGACAAATTCTCCATCAGCCTTCTGCAAATCTCTATCAAGTTCACCAATGAGCCACCTCAGGGTGTCAAGGCTGGGTTGAAGAGGACCTACACCGGTAAGAATTTAGTAGCATGTGCCATGGTACATGTATTATTTTGTTTTGCGTGAAGTTTACATAAAGCGCTATTGTAGCAGTCCTGTTCTTCAGTCTTCACTCTCATCACTGCCAAGAATATGCATTGGTGATTTTTCCTTGCACTCATCTCATACTATAATGTATGGGTGAGTTTTTGTGTGAGATGAGTGAGTTGTGTTTGGGATGAGTGAAATGTGTGTGGGATGAGTGCAATGAAGCCAGGTATATACTTGGATTGGGTAATGCGGGCTAAATCTTAAGGCTGGGCTCGCAGTCAGAAGTGAATGTGGTGCAATCATATACAGTGTATGGTATTAGTGAACAAGGCTCCGCAGCCAGTGCTAAGTTTGCTCTCTATCTCTGATATTTACTGTACTCGTGTAATGCATTGCCGGCTCAGGAATGACTCAAGAGCAACTGGATGTCAGTAACATGCCGCAGTGGAAGCCTGTGCTCTATGCTATTGCATTTCTACACACAACTGTCCAGGTAAGCACTAACAGACAAAGTCCATACTCGTATACAGGCGATTGGTCCTACTTAACTGCTGCCACTGCTGCCGCTGCTGCCACTGCTGTTGCTGCTGCTCCTGTTCCCATCGCTGCTCATACTGCCGCTGTCGCTATGCAGGTGCGGCTGTGGCCGCTATGTTGTTTCCACCAATCATCCATCTACTGTCATTTTTTATGTTTGCCAAAAGTATGAGATACTTTCTGATTCCATCAACTTTGGCAATCTTCTTTCGGACTGCTTCTGTACAGGAGAGACGCAAGTTTGGTGCCCTTGGCTGGAATATCCCGTATGAGTTCAACCAAGCGGACTACACAGCCAGCGTTCAGTTCTTTCAGAATCACTTGGATGACATGGACATCAAAAAGGTAAGAATGGGTTGCATAGTAATGTATGAGTAATGCACTTTGACATTTCCAAATGTCCAACCTTTGTCTCGGCACTGATTGATGATTCCTCAATGAAGCACCAAGGATAAAAATTTGGTGACTAATTAATTGAAATTGCAGTAGAAGACCTTGTGTGTGAAGGTGTTGAAGAGATGATTGATTGATGATGTCAGACTTTGCCTATTGAGTACACTGCTCATGTCCCATGGTGCTGCATTTGCAATATCTAGTGTGCCCTTATGCTGGCACTGGCAATCACTGTATTATAATATTATTACTCTGCCATGATGTATTTCCGTGGTTGCATTAGGGTGTCTCATGGAGCACAGTACGGTACATGCTGGGAGAGGTTCACTATGGAGGGCGTGTGACGGATGACTTCGACAAAGTCTTGCTCAATACATTCTGCAAGGTGGGTTGACCAAGTGTGGCATGTGTTGTGATGTTTTCACTTATCATTGTTTGTTGATGTTCCATTGTTGGTAGACATGTTGCTAGACGATCGCTGTGAGTGAAATTCCGACTTGCAACTACCAAATCATTATGCCTTTTTAAGAAAGCTTTACTCCCCCCCCCCGTCTGGTTATTGAGCAATGCGCGAGCAGTTGAGGTCGCCTCTTGTGTAGTTGGTTACATCTAGGGCACTCAGCTGCAGTCAATGACTCATTCTATCTTGGCATCTCACACATACTTCCTCATGCGTGTTGGTGTCACACATGTAAGTTTGTGCGTTTACTTGTATGTGTATGTGTGTGCGTGTATGTGTGTATGCGTGTGATCAGGTTTGGTTTGGTGAGCATATCTTCCAGACATCATTCCAGTTCTTCAAAGGTTACAGCATACCGGTTTGCAAGAGTGTTGCTAATTACGTTGACTTTGTTGATCAGCTACCGCTCAAGGACTCGCCTGAGGCATTCGGCCTGCATCCCAATGCTGACATAACGTGAGTCCAGGGTGCTTTTGCGTACAGGAGATTCTCATAATTGCCATGTTGCCCGCAACGTAACCTATATCGATATGCTCAAGCCACTGGCGAGGCTGCATTTTAAGCGAAGCTGCATTTTTAAGTAAGAATCACTCACATGTGATGTGTTTTCCATAGCCAGCAATCGCAGGCCATCACGCACATAGAAAATCAGCATTTTTGCTAATCAAACTCAGGCTGAAAATGAGTTGCAGTTCATTCCTTCTCCGTTTCTCTCTAGTAATGGTTCATGAATCCGCCCAGTCCACATTCCTTCTCCGTTTCTCTCCGTTTTTCTTTCCTTTCAGTTGCATCTTCCTCTCTGCTCTGTTTTATTTTCTCTTTTCGTTCGTCCCTCTTGATATTTGTACTTTGTACTGTTGAGGCAACGAACTGAAATAATAAAAACCAAACCAAACCAAAACCAAACCATAAGTACTAATGGTGTTCACATCTTGGTCATGTGACTTAATCTGTGTAGGAAGTGATCATGGCATGTGGACAGTGGAACCAACATGGCCGACATCATGTGACCCATAGATGCAGGGGTTGAGCGGAATTGTCCCGTACGGTCCTGTGATAGATGTGAAACCATTCTATTGTTATCTGAGTGATCGATTTGTGTCGTAAAACTTGAAGTCACAGCAAATTGCTTGCTCCATTTTTGTCCAGATTGTGTAAACATGCAGGTATGCTTGCCTTTGCTTCCCTGCTGCTGCAGATATCAAACAAACCGTGCCCGTGATGTCCTTGACACCATGCTCAGCATACAACCTAAAGACAGCAGTGGTGGCGGTGGAGAAACACGAGAGAGCGTTGTGCAGAAGATTGCAGACGACATGCTGGGGAAGCTGCCAGGGAACTTTGTTTCACACGAGGTGTGTCTTTGCAGAATAGTAAAGTAGCGGCTGTGTGCATGCATTCATATGTGTACATGTGTGTACACTGGTTTTAACCGTTCGTTAGTTTGTGAATGTAATCTACAAGTATGTGTGGTCGACCACAGAACACACTGCTGGCGGTGTAGTCAGTTTACTGCAATTTCGCTGCAGAAAAATAATCGCATTACCGTGAGACTGTATAGCATTGCTCGCAGCCACAGAGGAACACATCCAACACATTGCAGATTAGTCCTGCCACTGACAGCAGAATATCGATGATGTACATGTACATGTAAATTGTGTTCTATTGTCTGTTTTCACTAGGTGAAAGCGTGCTTGAGACGTATGGGCATTCTGGCACCGATGAACATCTTCCTACGTCAGGAAATTGACCGCTTGCAGCGTGTCATCACATCAGTGCGTCAAACACTGCAAGACGTTAAACTGGCGATCGACGGCACTATAATCATGAGTGAGGTGAGTCAAGTCTGAGTACGACATCATGATCATGGATGACCTCTTCAGCACATGTTGGGTTTCGTGCTGTGGACCAGGTGATTACTGCACTGGCAAGCTGGCAATTTTGATGTGGATCGTAAAGGGATGGAAAGGGTAGTTCCATCCACCAGTCACTTGCTTTGTCTTGATCTTGTTGTTGTTTTGTTGATTTCATTTTGTATCACTGACCAAAACGAATATATTCAAAATCACTGGGGCAATTTTACATGTTATGCTTATTCATACTGCGTTATGAGCTTGTTACATGTTGCTATCTTCCTCTGGTAGATTGATGAGGGGCAAAACTAGTGGTGTATTTTGTATACTGACTATTTTGATCTGCTTTGTTCGGTGTGTAGAACTTGCGAGATGCCCTGGATTGTATGTATGATGCCAGGGTGCCTGCTACGTGGAGCAAGGTAAGTCAACAGGTGTAGGCCTTCCGTCACATGAAGTGATGGTGTGGTGGTCAAGAGGATGATGCTGGTTGTGCGAGGAACCATTCTTCTAAGAAGATACTATGACACCCCAATGTATAATGGAAACGCTTTCCTTGTCCAAGACGGATCATCAGCATCTGTCAGTTATAATATATGAAGGAGGATTCTGACTTCTACAGGCTTTCTTTTCTCCTTCCAGTGTGGAAAACCTCTCCAAAAATTGTTGTGGGCACTCAAGTAGTTTATGGAAGTCTTTCAAGTCTGCAGCCTGATGGCAGATGTCATTTGTGGTGAACAGGCAGTACTTCCAAAATCTACTCAACCATACAATTTTTGTCCTCGCCTGTTCATTTCTGTCACTCTTGAGGACGTTTCTCTCTAAGTTCATTGCCCTGTGTTTTGCTGGTATCAGAGATTAGACTTTGACTTGCTGTCGATTACTTTGTCTTCCTAAAGATTTCTTGGCGGTCATCAACCCTGGGATTCTGGTTCACTGAGTTACTCGAACGGCATCATCAGTTACAATCTTGGTGTTTTGAAGGCCGACCGAATGTCTTCTGGATGACAGGATTCTTCAATCCTCAAGGGTTCCTCACGGCAATGAGACAGGTGTGTACCATTCCAGTAACTGCAAGTTTGCGGAGCTCAGTGCTTTACTTGTGTTCATCTCGCCGATGTGCTTGTTTGGATCTCGGTATTGTGCTGGTGTGGATCTCGCTGATGTGCTGGTGTGGATCTCGGTATTGTGCTTCCAGTACAGTTGTTGTGTTGGTTGATGGTGGTGCATGCTGCACTCCCCTAGGCTTGGCAGGCAGAGCTAACGTTCTTTGCACTATATTCCAGTGCATTGTGCCTTACTGGCCTCTTTCTGTCCGGGGCACTCTGATTGATTTATTTGTGGCAGCATGAGCAGAGTTAAATAGCCACGGGAAGTTCACACTCATGGCTTGTGGGATTTCCCCGTCATAAGGAGCGATGGAATACCAGGGTCACATGGGAGGCTTACTTAGATATTGCTTTCATCCGATGAGCACATGATTACAGCATCATTGCGGCTGTTGTGTTATGCATTGTGTAGGACGTGACCCGCGCTCACAAGGCCGCCAACTGGGCATTGGACAGTGTGGTACTCAACAACCGTGTCACCAAGATGTACAACGAGAACGAGGTGACGGAAGTCCCAGCGGAGGGTGTGTACGTGCGTGGACTCTTCTTGGATGGAGCCGGCTGGGACAGGAGACACGAACGTCTTTGTGAACAGCAGAATAAGGTGAGTGCAACACATTACTAGCCAGTAAGGCGAAAAAACAGCTTCTCGATGGATATGTTCACGTGTTGCTTTTGTCACTCCTGAGCAAAGAGGCTACACAGCAGGATTAACCAGTACATATTCATGCCTTCTGTAAAACATGTTCCACAGGTTCAGCCAGCATCCTGACAGCACTACCATTCTGTTCATTTCCCTCCAGGTGTTGTTTGTACCCATGCCAATCATTCACATCTACGCGGAGCAGTCCGGTAGCGTACAGCGCGATGGCAAGTTGTATCAATGCCCAGTGTACAAGAAACCCAATCGCACCGATCTGAATTACATCACTACGTTGTACCTACGTACCACTGCGTCGCCTGACCACTGGACTAGGCGTGGTGTTGCCATTCTGTGCGACACCAAGTAAGGTGGATGTCAAGATAGTATTTTCTTCGTCCTGTTTTCGAATTCTGTACATTTTTATCCTATCTACATAAAATTATCATGTATGTGAGTGCGAGTGTGGTAAAGACCTTCTCACGGCCACCTGCACTGGATGTGTGTATTGGACGTGTGTGCGCATGACAGTTTTCATGCCAAACTTTTTTTCATCCCTGGGTGTTTGGGCTGTTTGTTTTGCATAAGCAATGTTGTAATCGTATTCATGGGAGCACATTTCAACTACATGTTCACCTCATGCATGGTTCACGATGCAGGGAAGGAGAAGTTGCTGGGTGTGAATATTCATCATAGATAACCGGATTGACTCGCTGCTCCGTGTTTACCTTGCCCTGTAAAAGTTAATTTGGCAATTATCGTAGCATAATTCTAGATAATATTCCTAGAAAGCTATGATAATAATAGATTGTAGCGTTCTCGCCGCCTTTCTAAATATTCCTAGACGTATTCATCGTGAGAAAATGTTTACAATTTCCCTGCCATTTTGTATGAGGCTCTTGATTTTTCATTCAAGTTTATTAGAGATATTTTCCGATTCCTATTTGGCTTGTGCTTGCGGCAAGGTCTGTGAACCTTGTTATGCCACGAGATGCTTTTCCCTGTTAGATTTCATACAGCTACAAGTATTCATTGCTGGCTTTTCATTTCTGATTTGTTTAGATGCAAGTATCCACGTACGTCCTTTCCGGTGGTGTATTTGGCTCCACTTTACTCACATTTATAGTATTATGCATGTTGAATCTCGAACACCAATAGCCAGCTTGCTCACGAAGACCAGTATCCCATCGGCTGATTGATGATTCTTGTCAAAGCCTACACACTACTAGTCTTGAATGAAAAGCATTTTTACATTCATAGCGAAGCATGCAGCTGCTATTCGAATAATGTGTGTGTGTGTGTGTGTGTGTGTGTGTGTGTGTGTACGTGTGCGCGCGTGTGTGTGTGTGTGTGTGTGTATTGAGAGTCTGGTAGCACATCATCAACTTGCTGATAAACTAGATGATGTGCTACCAGACTCTCAATGTGGCTTCCGCACAGGACGTGGGTGTGCTGACATGATCTTTGCGACAAGGCGACTAATCGAAAAGAGCTACGAGCAGGAGCAGAAGTGTTTCTTTATCTTCATTGACCTGAAGAAAGCCTATGACTCAGTTCCGCGAGAGTGTCTGTGGTTAGTACTGCGAAAAGCTGGCGTCCCTGAGAAGCTGATCACTGTTATCCGTGCATTCCATGACGGCATGACCGCAACTCTCCGTCTGTCGAATGTTGAAGCTGACCCCATGGCATCCCTGTGACGAACGGCTTGCGGCAGGGATGTTGCATGGCCCATGTCCTATTCAACATCTTTATGTGGGCAGTGATGCATTGTTGGCGCCAGCGCGTGCAGCCTATCCATGGGGTAGGCGCATAGGTCTTCTTCGAGCCAGATGGGAAGCTACTCCACCACCGTAGCCGCCGTGATAGATCCCTGGAGCTGACAGAGTGTCAGTTTGCTGATGATTCCGCTCTTGTGGCCGCGACACGCCAGTCCGCAGTTTCAGCCTTGGAGGTATTTGTGGATGTATGCAGCGATTTTGGCCTCACCGTCAGTGCCACCAAAACCAAGTTCATGGTCTCTGGCCCCAACATCTCTAACGACGATCTAGAGCCGCTCGCGATTCGAACTATGGATATTGCCCATGTGTCGTCTTTTTGTTACCTTGGATCCAACATACATATACACAGCAACGGCCGATGTCATGATGATGTCATGATGATGTCATGATGATGTCACATCCCGGATTGCACAAGCTGCCAAAGCGTTTGGCGCTCTGAAGAAACCGATACTCCACGATGTAACACTGACAATATCCATTAAGCGGTCAGTGTACAATGCTTTTGTGCTGTCGACTCTGCTCTATGGGTCCGAATGCTGGGTACCGCTAAAGGCTGATGTTCATGCGTTGTCTGTCTTTCATCTCCGTTGTGTCCGCACGATTCTGGGCATCAGTCGTCAAGATGATGTATGGAATGACAGGATAACTAATGTTGAAGTTCTGGAGCGCTGGGGAGATAACTTGGACATGGAGTGTCGTCTCAGCAGACGTCGCCTTGAGTGGCTTGGTCATGTGGCAAGGATGGAGGATGAGCGCATCCCGAAGGCTCTACTGTTCGGTTCGTTGCCAAACAAGAGACCTGCCCATGGTCCGCGGAAAAGGTGGCGAGACTGTGTTCGGAGTGACGTCAAACCACTTGACGACTGGTATGAAGTGGCCACCTCTTCTCGCTCCAAATGGCGCAAGGCTTACCGTTGTCTGCCAGACAAGCAGAACAGACCTCGACCATCACCGGTTGTGTGCCAAACTTGTCACCGCTCCTTCAGTCGTGTAAGTGACAGGAAGCGACACAAGTGTACAGCTATGCGTGCCCTACCCGTAAGCCAACAGCAAGTTGTCACTGCGACCAGTGCGACAGATGGTTCCGGAGCAAGGGTGGATTTGCGTCGATGGCGTGATGTGGTACGCGATGACCTCAAGGCGTTCGGTTTATAAACCGGTTGGTAGACTCTACGACCTCGTAGCTGAACGTGGCGAGTGGATCAAGTCCATCTCGGATGCCATTGTTGCACGGCGCTTACGCCTTGAAACGACAGCCAAGTCAGTGTGTTGTGCGATCTGTGAGCGACTCTTCGCCAGTGAAAGCGGACTTCGGCGGCACAAATGCAGGGAAGAGCGACTGAAGCCAATCCATGAACAGGCCGGTGCTGTGTTGTGCGAAACGTGCCATCGTTGGTTTGCTAGCCGAGGTGGATTTGCTGTGCACAGCTGCTCCCCCAGCCTTGGTGACGCTCCAGTTCCAGAGATAGTTGCACCTCGCCCACCTGATTGCAGCCAATGTCAGTACCACTGCCACACCTGTGACCGCTATTTCCGGAGCAAAGCAAAGCTGGGCACCGCCGGCACAACTGCAACTGCAGAACATGCAGCTCTGGCTCCGAGCGCCGCACCATCCCATGCCTGACCTGCTCTGGGAAGTTCACACGTCTCCAGTACCTGGCTCAACACAAATGCAAGAAGTAACTCTGCCCTCCTTGTCTCTTTGAGGCACTGCAGCACCTTTAGGTGGCAGTTGCAAGGTTCCAAGGTGTGTGTGTGTGTGTGTGTGTGTGTGTGTGTGTGTGTGTGTTGGACTGGTTTCGGCTCCACAATCCAGTGTGTCGTTACTATAATAGCTTTCATGGCTGAGGTTGTTGGTATGTCTATTGGCTCTGGGTTCCCAGTACTCAGTAGCCGAGGCTGGTTGGTAAAGTAACTCCAATTTCACTTCAAGGTACCAGTGCCTCTAGTGTCTGCTTCTATCAAACAGCGTGCTGTCTATACTGGTTACCCCAGCAAGTGTAGGGTGTGCATAGGTAACTGTCTTGGCCGTTTTATGCCGATGTACTCCGTGTGGTGTAGACCAGGTGTGCATTGGTGGTCCCACGCTGCTTTGGCAGTGGCGGAGGCTCGCTTGCCGACGTAACCGTCGGAGACCATCATGAACAATGGACTGACTAATTATTCACTTGTCCTGTCTTTCTAAATAACATGTTATTGCATATGTTCTTGGTTTAGTTTTTGGCCTTTTTCGTGCTTTGGAGTTATTTTTGTTGTTTTTGGAGAAAAAACTTTGATGGTTTTGTCGTATTGGTGGTCGATTCACATGGCTTCGCCAGTGATGTGGATTAGACAGTTATGTGGCGCAAGTCTTGATCTGTCTCATTCAGATCTTGTTCACTATCGTTGCTATAAGAGGAAATCTGTGGGTGCACATCCAGTGCATTTGCAGATTTGCGTGCTTCTCTTGCGATGGGTGTAAACATGGTACATACACTACATGGTGTGTGTGTGTGTGTTTACTTGATCCACTGGCATATATACGAATGTGTGAACGTTTGCATGTGTGCGTGTGCGTATGTGTTGGCACACATGCGTTTGTGTATGTGCATACACATACTTATTTCGATGTATTGGGTACTACTCATTCTTTGATTTTTTTTCCTGCTCAAAGGTTTTTTTTTAAACAATGCAACACAATATTGTGGAAAGGTCACAACACTAAGAGACAAGATCAAAAGGAAAGCTTTACATTCTTTGATCACTTGCGTTTTGAGCCCGCTATAGTTATGATTGTACTGTTCCAGGGTTCCCCAGGATGTACATGTACATATGATTGGATGTAACTCAGTACCATTGTCTTCCTTTATTATTTTCGAGCTGGGAATGTGAACATAGTAAAAAATAACTGCTGTTTACCTGTCATGATGGGTATGACCAGGAAGTCATGAAAACCTGGCTTTCGCGACTCCCTGCATGATTATGACTGTACCAGTGCCGTGGTGGTGGTCGTCGTGGTGAGAGTAGCATCTCTTTGTTTGGCTTTTGCTGACTTTGGACATCTGCACAGTGCCCCGAAGAAGATCTATGGGGTCTCTAAATATGTCGGCGTGTGCTGTGAACGATTGCTAGCGAGTGTGAGCCGTGTGAAGAGTGTCAGCGAGTGTGAGCGGTGTGAAGGTGGTGATTATGTTACATCTGTAGCATGGCTTGGTGATAAGTGGACGCCATGCCGCGTGAAATGGAGTGTGAAGGCGAGAACTGCATGCTCACACTGTACAATCAATATTCGTGTGTACCTGCAGTGAACAGAGCTAGAGGACAACTGGGGAGGTCAAGGTTTGTACCACTTGGAACTTTCTAATAATACATACATACGCGTACATACGCGATGTTACGTACGTGATGGTCATCACATTCCCGAAGAAGCTCCATTCAGCACATGTTTGCTAAGTGATCGAATCCTGGCCCTGATGGACGACACATTGGCCAACAGGCAGCATCACTTCCAATAACACATTAGACGCAGTCTCACAAGTCCATGCTACTCGAGTACTCAAGACAGCGGCTGTTCAAGAACACGAACTCTGCTTTCCTACAGTTTACGTGCATTAACCTGCCCTTGCCCAGGAGAGACAGAGAGGGTTAGAGAGGGTTAGAGAGAGAGAGAGAGAGAGAGTTAGAGAGGGTTAGAGAGAGAGAGAGTTAGAGAGGGTTAGAGAGAGAGAGAGAGAGTTAGAGAGGGTTAGAGAGAGAGAGAGAGAGTTAGAGAGGGAGAGAGAGAGAGAGAGAGAGAGAGAGAGAGAGAGAGAGAGAGAGGGTTAGAGAGAGAGAGAGAGAGAGAGAGAGAGAGAGAGAGAGAGGGTTAGAGAGGGTTAGAGAGGGTTGAGAGAAAGAGAGAGAGAGAGAGAGAGAGAGAAAGACAGACCGACAGACAGAGAGACACAGACACAGACACAGACACAGACAAAGAAAGAGAGAAGAACATCTCAGCCCGGAAATCACCGCCAATCACTAGTATGCCTATTACTCGCATTTCGGCCATGTGTTGGAACGCCACTGGAGAGCGCAATCTCTCTTATCTCGCGAGCAAGTAAACGAATCATGACTTGTAGTGAAGTTTCGTGTTGTGACTACTCCCAACGCAAATTTCGTGGAAAGAAATGAGGCGGAGGGAAAGAAAGCATGCAATTAGTCACCAACAGGTAGCGTGAAAGATGAAAAATAATTCGTTTAGTCAGTATGAAATCAACGTCGGAATCAATAGGAATTCAATTATCGGTGGAACGGGGGGGGGGGGGTATTCTCTGTTGAAATCGATATGGCAATTGATCATAACCTTTCTGTTGTCAATTTTTTTAAGTGTGGAATTTAGAGTGCGCTGCCATGTTCAAGATTATGCCTGTTGATCTCTTAGATGGTTCCATCCATCAGGTCGGACGAAAGGAGCCCAGTTATCTGTGAGGAATCGCAGATGATCTGAGAGTTTGCTGAAGGTTGGCCGTTTGTGTGGCTCCAGTTCCCAGGTGCTTCGCATTATTTTATAGATGGCTTCACTGCAACCGGGAGGCTGCGGCAGTCGCACGCCGTTGTCGAGAAGTCTGCGAAACTCCACTGGACTGACCTGGCCCTGTGCGCCCCGGATACCCGCCATGTCCAAATACGGGTCTTCCCCGAATGTCATGGCTTCCCACAAGACCACGCCAAAGCTCCAGACATCAGACTTGGTGGTGGAAAAACCGAAGAAGCTCTCTGGTGCGCTCCACAGCAGCGGTACGGCAGTCGTCTCAGGATTACCGGCTACGTAAGAATATACACGGCGTGTTAGCGAGCTGCTGGCTTGCCCAGTCGTAGCCGAGAGCACCTGTCCAGTCATTTGTCGAGTTAGGCCGAAGTCAGTGATTTTGCACACTAGGTCACGTGTAACGAGAATGTTGCGCGCTGCCAAATCGCGGTGCACCATCCGCTTGGACTCCAAGTACTTCATGCCCTCCGCTATTCCTTCACACATCTTACATCGTCGCTGACCGCCTGACACGATGGCTCGACCTCGGAGTCGGCGGACGTACTCCTTGAAGCTACCTTGATCAACTAGCTCCATGATGATGAAAGGAAGTCCTTGGTACTCCGATGCCATATGTACTTCCACGATATTAGGATGTTTGAGATTGACGGCAATGAGACTTTCTCGGAGGAATGACCTTCTCAATCGACTGCTTGATCGTGCCCCCATGTTGGGGACTTTAACGGCGACGTTGAGTGGAGGTCCGTATCCCAGAGCTGGCTGATCCCATTTTGCTAACCATACGTCACCGAAACCTCCTCGACCAAGCACAGAGGTGACCTTAACACCAGGAATGTCAGGTGCCGGAGCCAGCATGATTTTCTTGCCCTTGACTTGGCGGAATAGTCGAAGTTGGTAGACGGTTCTGGTTACCTTTTTCACAAACTATTTCTCACCAATGCGTCCTTACTTTCTGGGACTGCGTCCTAGAACGCATATTATAGAGTGAAAGCGGGGATGACAAAATTAGCACACTGAGTGGGAGTGAATCGATGGTGTAAAATCGCCAACACCTCTAAGTCTAAGATCATCTCTCCTCCCAACTCCCTTGGTAGTCTTCAGTGACATAGCTGACGGGATTATAGCTAGGTGACAGAGAATAAACACTGGGAGGAAATGTGCAGTGCAGGACTCATGAAGTGGAATACGTGTAAAGTTAGCACCTGCATACCTGGAGACTGGTGTGGAGGCTTGCCACTCATTATAGTTTGATAATAATTAGCAGTGAGAATGAGATGATTTCACCATCGCGGCATGTATGGCATCGACAGGAAGTCGTGGCACTGACAACAAATTGGTTTGAAAGTGTTCTCAATCATCTATTATTCCCGACAAAGTGCAAATTTACGAATAATAGTAGTCTTTGTTCTATGTTTCACGCAACCCATTGCAGCCCGTGCACGTATCAGTGTATACTATTACCACCATTTACTTTCGTCATTGCTCTTTGAGAAAGACGCCCGCTTTTCAGCTTCTGCATACTTTAGAATCAGCTATACATCTGAAGACAGGGGAACGAAGAATCGTAATACAATTCCTATCAGCGATGTCTTCTGCGTCTTGCACCAGTTGAGAAGCAGGAACATACAGGCAATACTAGAGTTTTGTAAACGTGCATGCACAGCGCTGCACACCTGCGGATAGCTCACCGAGGATGAAGAGACAAGACGCTGACGCAGTGCTAAGAGGAGTAGCGACACGAAATACAACACAATCATGTAAACAATATATCCCATGCAAGCATGTGCACGGTGCGAAATACAGCTTCACTGAGCTAAGGTAAGTAATGAAGTTGTAAGTTGTTAACGTCAGAGATAGTAACGGCCGGCGAGCGTTCAGTAGTTAGTTTGTCACACAGAAGTATGTTACACGCATAGTGGTGGTGGTGTCGGTTCAAGTTTACAGTTTAGGTCGATTGCTGAGGGGAAATGAAGGTGATCATTTCCGGCTTCCCGGCAGAAAAGAAGACAGAAAAACAGCACTTGTCGAACTGGCTGCCATTCACACTCAGCCTCGTCTATATCTGTCAAATAAGAGCGAACGTAAATAGATCTAGAAGAGAGAAGGCAAAAGTGTCTGCGTGTTTTGTGGAGGAGAAGGAAGCAAGCTCCAGTGCTTTGTGTTCCGCCCGATAGGAAACTCCAATTGGCAACCCCTCTCCGGTCGCCATTGCTATCGAAGCTTCTGCAAAATTGGAGTAAGGCATTTCACAATCGTGCTTTTTGTGTGACTGAGGAACATATGCACGATTCCTGCAATGTTCCAATTTCAAAGCTACTTTGCTTTTACAAGTGGCTGAGAAAACCGTCGGCCATGCGAGAACACCTTCAACTGAACGTGATGGATGGCCGGAGATCCTATCGGCACGTTGTTCATCAAACACGTTCTGCCCCTGAGTTCCTTAACGTAACATGTCGAAGGAACTGGGCGAGATACGCTACATTCATGTAGCACTGTTCAAATGGAAAGAACTTCTCTCACCCTCTCAGGATCGTTCGTAAAAGCTCGCACAAGAGTGCTAATCGACACCGTCGTAAAGTCCTCACTGCTTCTATGTAGTTATTGATGTCAGATATTGCGCATACAGGACAGCCGTTGAGTGCAAACGTGTGGTGTTCCTGTGAGCGGTTTCATGCTATTTCATGTACTTATTCAGTATATTGGTTACAACTCTTCACACCTCGCGTGTACTGAGCGCTACTTTCAAGTGCAATTACGGCGTTTTCATGTTCGCACTCCCAGCACAGGAGTGGTGCAGTGCGCGCGTGTGCGTGTACGACCGTGTGTGCCTATTCGTGTAAAAAAACCCAATTCGTGTATGTTTTCATTCCTGTGCATGCATATCACGAGTACATGCGCAAAGCGAGAAAAAATGCAATCCAAACTGATAATTACTAGTACTTTAAACAAATTGGCTTGCAATCCACGTGTACAGTGTACAGTGTGCTATGAAGCTTGAGTGTACCACACAGACTTGACCTCTTTTTCTGCTGCTGTGGCTATGGGGTCTGCTGCTGTGGCTATGGGGTCTGCTGCTGTGGCTATGGGGTCTGCTGCTGTGGCTATGGGGTCTGCTGCATCGGAAAAGAGACTGGGTGGCCCTCCGTAGAGCATCTTCGCGAAGCACACAAACTGAATCTAAACTGCGGACAGCCGTGCCCCAAACTGCTGGGCAGCCATGCCCCAAACTGCTGGGCAGCCGTGCCCCAACCTGCTGGGCAGCCGTGCCCCAAACTGCTGGGCAGCCATGCCCCAAGCAGCGATCATGTACATGTGCACGTTGTGCTGCAGTTGCAAGCGGAAAACGAGCCGCGTTCCCCTCTGCGCCATCGTGGTCCCGTGAGAAATACATGACATTGTGTTGGGCAAGGACTGATGTACGACCAATTAGCTGGTGTGAGTCCAGGGGCCGACAAGGAAATGGGTTTGTGCGTGGCACCTGTTGGAGAAGTGAGAACATCTGCGAACCAATGTAACATTACACGTTGCCGCCGTGTTAGAAGATTGCAAATGCATTATTGAAGAAGGGCAAATACATTATGTTGGAAATGGTGCACTCCCTAACGCCATGCTGCGAAGTCATGTTTCATGGACTTCATGTAAACGTGTGCCTGGCACTAGATTGCTGGAAAGTGAGCATCTCTTTCACATCATCCCGTACTGGTCATGCGTGAAGGCGTGAAGGTGGAAAAAGACCATTGTCCATATATACGTCTATGCTGTGATTACCAAGGTGGTGGTATCAAAGTTCACGGGCTGTGAGTGCACGAGCTGCAGTGCGGATCAGTGAACTCCAAGGAACACTGTTCGAATGCAATAGTACTGATGCGGACCTTAGATCGTCGAGTCCATTTCGTGTTTTTACAAGTTCAGGATCCATATTTACCTACAAGATGAACGTGTTGTATGTGAGGGAGGAGGAGGGGAAGGGAGACACTAATTGAACACACACACACACACACATACACACACAAACAAACACACACATTCTCTCCCTCTCCCTCCCCTTCTCTCCATGGCATGTACACAAGATGTATGTGTGTATCCAGAAGAAATTAGAACATCACCGACGGGAGGAAGTTGCCACATGCCCCATACGAGTACATACATAAAACGTGGGTATGTATTCAGTTGATGAGTGCCCCCCCCCTCCCCTCCGCTTCTTTCCTGTGCATGGAACACTGCGAGCCTGTCTAATTGCTGCATGAGCTGCTCACGGCTAAGTACTCGTATCGCTCGTTTAAGAGAATGTGACGAGAGAACGGCAGGATTCCACCGGCTTGGGTTGTCTGTTACCGACTCGCTATCTGTTACAGTGTATCACAAGTTTTCACCTTCCTCTCAAGGACTGCTGTTACCGCTATCAAACCCAGTATCTACTATGCTAGTACATGAGACCTAAAATAAACTCTGCTGCAGAAGGTCCAGCCATAAGGAGGGAAGGGAACGGAATCGAGTTTTTACCTTTTACGGGATGCCACGGCGAGAAGACATTCCCTTGCTGCAGAGGAATCTAGAACGGAAGTATTCTCTGAGGTTTCCTATGGCATGTTGACTGTCGTGTTGCCTTCCATTTGCAGATCCTCACTGCCGTGTATATAAATATGTCAGGAGCTCTAGGGGGTAAGAAAAAACCTTCTCGCGTCATTTACACACGCTCTGATGGCCTGAAAATTCAAAGCCTGCGGGTGAGGAAGTGGGAGATTGTTTTCTTCGCCTCCTTCCCTATCGTCACCTCAGGGCACGCCTGTAATAGATACACGCCTATCATAACATGTACATGTACATGCATACACAGTGCTGGTAGCGTGACCTTGCAAGGAAGGAGTCGGCCATGTTGCTCCCTGAAACCATGCCGGCCGAATTGCTCTTTGTGTACCCTGAAGACAGTGCTTTGTCACTTTCATTATTCCCCGTAAGGACAAGGTGCATACACCACACAGGCACACTTTCAAGCACCCTGTTTCAGACCCATTCCTGCTGTCTTTGCTCACACGCTATGCCGTATGCGTATGCACTCATTTGCGTGAACATGACTGTATAGCGACATGCAGTCGTCGCATGGTCTATCCCACACTTCCCCATTGCCTTCACACCACGCATGGTCTATCCCACACTGTACTTCCCCATTGCCTTCACACCATCTCACCCCTGTGTGATTTCTACATGATTCGTGGACAGACTGCAACTGGGCTACACAAATCAGTCGACACTCGCCTGCATGGGCCTTCAAGAACGTACATCCGGGAACTCCAGTACACTCCTGGGCTATGTAGCCAATGCATGTACTAAAATATTGATCGGTGTTCTTGGAAAGGGACTAATATTTACATGTAGCAGTGCCCAAGGCATCTATTCCAAATACGAAATAACCTCACTCAGGATGCATGACAGTTTAGATGTACATGTAGGTGAATGGATGATACGTAGGCGTTAAGTAAGTTTCAGCAAGGAAAATAGCCTGGCCACGCACTGGACAGATTTGGACTGGATCGTGTTGTGACAAGGGTATGTCAGAGAGATATTTAGCCTGCTGTCCCAGTGCGGAAGATACCAACTTGCTTACGCGCTTCCAACAAACATAAATATGTAGGTTTATCTATCTCGAGTACTTCCTCTCAGACAAAACACACCACACGTTCGCACATCCTTTATCACGTTCGCAAAAAACGTCAACACAGTCATGAAGTACATATACATTCAGAATACACACGTACTTCCTGTGAGGCCGAGACCTGTGAGGGTGAGCGGAAGGAAGTCCATTTCCATTGGGTAAAGTTGAGATGGTGTCGAGTGATGCGAGTCATGTTGGACGGGTAGAAAAGTCCCTTTTTGGAACAAAATGATGCGGCGAAGAGGAGCGACTGGTCTCATTCACTCCAACGCTTCGTATTGATTCAGT